TAGGTCCACACCATGTACCTTCACTTTCTCTCTCATAGCACAAAATTCTGAAAATATCAATGTACGCAAACATTAGTTAATAGGAGATGGCATAATATATGCTCAATTTGCACTATAATTTCTTTTACGAGATATATACGTATGCATTATAAAGTTTGATAATAACTTCTATAATGATCCCCATTTCTTCCATATATAATGCTTAGGTTGTGTGTGAATATGAATATTTATATTATACTACTCATTTAGTTACATGATAGTCATCGAAGTTTATTTTCTAGATTTTAAAATGAACAGCGTTTGCAATGGAATTCTGCAAGGTATTAAGTATCGTGACATGTTTCGTGCTCAATATTATATTAATGATTTACAAAATATTGCTCAACAATTAATCAGTCAAGTGGAAGAACTTGGATGTATTAATACTGCTGGTGTATTATTTGATGTAATGCAACATTTAGCAGATGAACTAGACGATATGATACTGCCCATTGTTGCCTATGAAATACACGTACACAAATGTGAGAACAATACTCTAACACCTCATGAAAGGTATCGAAATTTTTTTATTGACTCTTCAAAACATTCATGGACGAATGTGGCTCGTGAAGTTATTCAGAAATATCCTTTTATATTCACGCGTATTAAAACATTCTGTCTTTCCACAGTTGAAAATATCAAAACATGCTTGAACTGTCTAGTTAAAGATAGGAATGATATTAGCAATACGCTGTCCGTGGATGCCAATCTGGTAAATCTTCTTCAAATTCATGTATCTGGCTCTGACAGACATCAAGAAGGGCGAACAGTCATTTTATTGACTTTTCAAGATAAGCAAAAATTAGTATATAAAAACTGTGATTCTTCTGTCGATCAAGCATTACAAGTATTTATTAATTTGTTAGATCTCTCTCATCCATACGATATTAAAACACGTAAATTCATAAAAAAAAATAATTATTCATGGTACGAATATATAGAGCATAAGTCCTGCAATAGTATGTATGAAATGAGAAACTATTACAAGCGCAGCGGAAGCATGTTAGCTGTTTTAGATACTTTAAACTATTGTGATGGACATTGTGAAAATTTAATTGCTCATGGAGAATATCCGTATCTTATTGATAGTGAAACACTTTTTCATAACTTTCCTATTGATGAATTAGAAGTGCAAATAGGCTCATTGGAACAAGAGCGAAGTATAGCATTTACGGGCTTAATCGAAAAATCAGATTACATTAAAAAATGTGATCGAAGTGAAAGTTGTTCAGCTTTCCAAGCAGCTGGTTATATTAAAAAGATTTTTCAACCGCGTATCATCAATGACCATACCGATGACATTAAAGTACGTTTCATCCGAAATGAAAATGATATAATGGCAGATGAATCTTCAACAGAACCAATATACACGATCTTACAAAATGCTCCTTGCTTAGATAAGCAAGCTTATACAATCGAATCATTTCTGGACGAATCTATTGAAGGTTATATGCACACTTATCAACATATAAAAAATCATGCAGCAGTGTTATTGGATGGTGATAATGAGTTTTGGTGTGCAATAAAAAAGATAACTTCGGCTCGAGCACTAATTCGTACAACATTATTTTATGCCATGCTAATTCGACGTTTACAACAGCCACAGTTCTCAGCTAACCAAGAAGTAGCTCGTCAATATTTAGAAGGCTATCTTCAATTACATTCATCCAATTTAAATTCGCAATTAGCTGAATGTGAGATCAATGAATTACTTCAACTCAACATTCCATACTTTACTCATCAACCAAGTGGTAAAGATTTGTTTATGGGAGACAATGGAAAATGTGCCAATTATTTTAAATATTCAGCAATGGAACAAATACATTGGAATATTAAGCATGCTAGTGACATATATTGCAACAGACAGATCGCAATTTTAAGAAACGTAATAAAATCAAATCCAGTCATTACTTCATATTGCCCTTGCTACAATTGCTTGCAAGATTAATAATATTTTATTGTTTTTTTTAAATGTTATATTTTCCTTTCTCGATAAAAGAAATATAAGATTAAATTTGTGAAACTTGCACACACATTGAATTGATAGATTAATATCGTCAATTTAGCCCACCAAGCTGGCATTAATTCAATTGTACGCTTGTGAGAACTAGTTAACTGTAATTTTCAAAAGGCAGTGAGATCAGAGTTTAGCTCATCAAAGAATTTAAAATACTGGTGATAGTTAGATGATGCCTTTTAAATTAGAATAGTGTAACGCTCTCTTTATTATGCGCTTTTGTCCTTTCGATTCTTCTCATCGAATGGATTAACTTTTTTATGTCCTTACTTCGGTGTACTTTGGCATTCTCTTTGCTTTCGTTCTATGTGGCAGACGAGTAGATAAGCATGTGTTTTGTATCAGAACGATGCGATTCTTGAGAGAAAGAAATGAAGAATGGCGTAGTATCGTCAGCATATACACCTCTTCCATCAGAAATCGTCACAAATAGCAATAGTTATATTGTTAATTGATGTCGTATATCTTTGTTGAAGAATAAAGTTGTTGTTAAACCACAAAAGACTTGATCCATTTAAGATGAGAGAATAGTGCAGACAGCTGCAGTTTTATTTTAGGATATGGCTCAATTATTCATTCAAAAGTGTGCAGTGTACTTTTAACGCGTCACTAATTAAAGTTTCAAACATTATCGAATTAAGTAACGATCACTCACAAAGGAGCCTTTCCAGGTGCCCCCTCCGATTACAATGATTTTTTATCGGATAGTAAAGTTGTGTCCTAGTAATAACTCTAAAAGAGCTTGCGTTTCTATTGAGATATGACGAAATTAGATTTGGAACGGGTCTGATTTTTCCAGATCGGACCGGTTCAAATGTTTTGCTCTACTGGAAAAAAATCGGTACATTTCGTGCATCAATTAAATAACTATTGTATGATTATTTCATTAAAAGATAATTTTATTCTTATCATCAGTAATTGATCTATATATTAAACCAACAGCGGGAATTCAATTGATTGAAATAAAAATGTTCTCAATAATGATCAGATACCAACGTCAAATGAACAAGAAAAGACTCGATATACAATTAACATCATTTTGTTTAATCGTGTATTCTACGCGTAATATATATTAGTTAAGATAAATTTTAAAATTCATAAAATCAAATAAAAAAACTAATGTTTATAATGTGGAAATATATCTTTCACTTTTGTGTGTAGATGGAAAAGAACTACTTAGTTAATGTTAGACGGGCCCTACAATGCGCACACCTTTCATATAAAGACGAGATAATTTTTTATTTTTCTTCCAAGAAAAGAAAACAAATTAGAAAAAATTATTGCACGAGCATTGACCATTTTTAAAAAAATGATGAATTCTGTTTGCATCTCGAACAACAATTTCACATTGACGAATATTAGCAATGAGTTTTATTGCACTATCTACAAAGAAAAAGAAAATTTTCAAAAAGAAAAATAACTCGCATGATAACTTACGACAATCTCCACAAATGCGAAGATTTTTTCCCAATTGAATTCGTGATGTATTCGGTTTGGCAACAAAATTCCATGCAATAGCAAGTCTTTCACTATGCCCACAAAGTACAGATGAAACTGTTTCATCTTGATTAATTGGTCGTGTAATCCAACTGGAATCGTATTGGTGACCATGTTGAACAAGTTCATTTGAGATTTTTTCAATTTCATCATAAATTTCTTTTGATTGAGGATGAGATTGATCATGAGCTCGAAATTCCTATAAATAAAATTAGTGGATATATCTTAAAATAAAAAAAACACTACCGATTAATTATTTCAACTCACATAAACTTGTCCATCTATAACAGTCCATGAAAGGCCAATTTTTTTCTTTGCACCAGATGGATTTAATTTAGTTCTGATTTCAGATACTTTCTCCATATCACCTACTGATCCATAAACATTAGAAAGAAGAATTGCAGCTGATGTTATTGAATCTGATAATTGAGGAAAATGCTTCTTCATACGATTATAAATTTCTTGTGATAAATGATGATTTTTCGCGTTTCGAGCAGCAGATAATAATGCCACTGAAAATAAATAAAACATGCTTGAATATTCTCATAAAATAGCACTTACAATACATAGGTGCTGAAGGTAAATGAGACGATTCATATTCATTGATTAACTGTTGTGCTTCTATGAAAAAAAATGATCGACTAAGACAATCGATCTACAAAAGAATATTATTAAAATACTTCAAAGTTATATCACTATTTTATTATACCATAACTGTATAAATTCTTTCTGTTTTCATTTCGATTTTGTTAAATATTAACAAAGCTTTATTAACAAGTCCAGCATGTGAACATGCATTCAAAATACAAATATAAGTAGCTTCATTGATGAATTCATCAGGAACTTGTTCATAAAGTTCAATGGCTTTTAAACCTTGTCCATTTAAACCATAAGCATTAACTATTGATCAAAATATGTTTTACATTTCTAAAAAGACAATTTAATAATTACTTACTCATTGCTGCATATCCAATAGTATTTGGTTGAGAAATTTTTTTGAAAATTTTCTCTGCTCCATCAACACAACCACTCTTTCCCTATTGATTATAAAATGAAAAAACATCTTTTTTGTCTTTAAACTTACCCACATATGAATCAATGCATTGTGTATTTGATTATCAATCAAACAAGATTCAGGCATTTGTTCAACAATAGATTTAGATAACTCCAAATCTCCAATATAAGCTAAAGCTTTTATGATAGAAGTCCAAATGATATGATCAATTTCAATATGCTTTAATTTCATTTCAGAAAATAGATTTAATATTTTAAAAGAATTATTTTCTTTTAAATATCCATTAATCATAACCTTATACATTGATAATGTTTTTTGCGGTAATTGATCGAATAAGTTTTGTGCATAATTTAAATCTCCACATTTAACTAATGCATCTAATAGAGATGTTAAAAGACGAGAATTTAAACTGAATGATTTCGAAATAGTTTTTGAAGTTTTTTTAATTAAATTTAATGCTTCGTCAGTCTTTAATTGAGCACATGCATTAAAGAAAAGAGTTAAAACACTTTCACTAGGTTTTTCTATATGTTTGAAATGTTCAATAACTTTATTTTCCATTTGATTTTCTATATATCCTGAAAAAACAACTCATTCTTACTAAATCAGATTTCCTTTATACGAATAATCATTTACCTTTCATCAATGCACCATGCATAGGTGAGATTTTATTTACTAATGAATGAAATAATCTTTCAGCTTCTACCATATCACCACATTTAGCTAATGCATCTAATAATGAAGTTGAAAGATAGGAATTTGATTGAAGTTTATCTTGAACAATGTTAACAATTTGTTTTGTTAAAATTAATGCTTGATTAGTTTTTAATTGAGCACATGCATTTAAAACAAGGATATATATAGTTTCATCAGGATGATCAATCTGATCAAATAATGTAATAACTTTATTTGCTTGATGATTTGTAATATAACCTAATATAGAATAATGTCTATCTTATATGAAATAAATATTGATATTTACCTTTCATCAAAGCACCAAACATAGGTAATGTTTTTTCCTTAATCATGTTAAATAATTCTTCAGCTTGTCTTACTTGATTACATTGCACTTTAATAACAAAAACGAGAATATTCGACAGTTTTATATTTTCTCATATTTACTGTAGAAATGAATTAAAGATGTTAATAAATATGAATCTTTATTCAAACGATTTGAAACAATACTATGAATCTTAGTTCCACGTTGAAAATCACGTAATCCGGTACATGATTTTAAAACTTGTGTGAAAACTAAATTAGACATTTGATCAGTATTCGTATTATTGTTATTATGTTCATCAAATAATTGAAGTGCTTTTTTGAATTGTTTATTATTATTCATTGATTTCATTTGAGTAACTAGATTCCGTTCATTCTTTTCAATAATAATCGATCGTTTAACAAAGTTATTTATATTTGCTAAATGATAAGTAAGTAATTTCCTCAACATTGAATATTCTAATTAATATTAAGGATCCTGTTTTACTTTAATTCTCACCGATACGTTCAATAGTAATTCAAATCCACTGAAATTAAAGTCAGAAAAATAATGATTATAGAGGTCACCAGTTTTCAAAAGTCATATAAGACTAAGTCATTTCTCAGACAGTATTAGTAGTGTAATCAGAAGTTTCCGGGTGGGTAGGCGTCGTCCTATCGATTTTCAAAATATGATACAACATATATAATGACGTAGGTTGTTTCCTTGCAGCATTTATAAAGAGGTTGTAATCTATTAACCTTTAAAAGTGACTATTATTTTTCTTAAGTTAAAACAATATTCAAAGGTGCCAAGACTTTACTTTAATATAGTCTTACTATTTTAAGCAAATCATCAAAGGTGAGGATGTGGGTTGATTCAATCAGGCCACACCGACATCCTCAAAATGAATTAATAATACAACAGACGATCATTTACTAGAATATTTTATTTTTCCATTATTTAGGGAAATTTAGCCATTTTATATCACACCTACTCTTTCTTCTTTTATCCTTCATTTTTTAATCATTATTATATTCATCTATCTTCCGGTAACTATTTGAAAAAAATTGTTCAGACAATTTATAAGTTGTATTTATAGAAATCATTAATATAGTCTGTTAATAAAAAGCACTATTATAATGTACCTGCCATACAAAAAAACATATTCTTTTATTGATAATAAATAATTTGTAAAACAAAATTAAAATATTATAAACGAAAAAAAAATCAAATACAATAAAACTTCTCACTGTAGTGAACACCATCGTAACTATAGACCAGTATATATAATATGAAAATGCGCATTTTATAAAAACTGAGACATGTTTTGCTATTATGTAAAGTGAGAAGTCTGCTCTTTAGATCTTCACTGAAAATGTTTTTCAACAAAAGCAGCTTAGTATCTTTTTTATGATTATTAAATTACTGTAATCGATATTCTAATTAATTAAATACTTCAATTTGTTTTTTACAAAGTAAGCTCATGTCATGGTATGATTTTCTCTTTCAGACATCCTTTTATATTACCTGAGAAATAAATGAAGAAGAATAAGAAAAATGTTGCACATAGAATTCTATTAAACAATTTTGAATAGTAAAATAAAATGTTAAAACATATTCACATATTTATAATTAGGAAATATTAATTTTCGAATGGTGTTCACTTTTACTACATATATTAACAGATGTACTTTGTGACGAAGAAGTTACTCCTGTCACTTGATAATAAACAAGATAATGAATATGTGTCTTACAAAAAATAATCTTCTTTACTTGAATACGAAAATTAGGTGTTGAAATATAATAGATATAAAAACTTGTTACTGGATTTGTATAATATAATATATGTGATATAACATGATAAAGAAAAAAATAGGATGATTTTAAACGATTATCACGAATAAACATAACTTCATAAATTTGTTCCATACAATATGGTATTGATGATAATATAATTGCAAGTGACATTAATAAAAGCATACGTGATAATTGTTTATCACTACTAAGACCACCACCAGGACGATGATGATGTCGTGTTTTTATTGTTTTTAATTGTTGAAATGTTAATATACCAAATATTGAAAGAAATATAATTGGTATTATTCCATGTAAGATTATTTGAATTATACATAAATAATAATATAAATATGTTGTTGAAAGTATTGTACATTGATTTGTATTTGAAACAGTATAATATAGAATTATTGGTATACTATGAAGTCCAATAAGAAAAAAAATAAATACTATAATTAATTTTGTTCGTTGTCTTCTTGTACTTAATTTTCGTAAACGAACTTTTCTTGATGATACTAAATATCGATCAAATGTTGCCATACAAATACATATCAATGATATTAAATCAAATGTATGTAAAACATAAAATCTTAATTTACATAATATAAATACATTTTTGTCTGTTACACGATAATGATAACCATCAAACATAATACGTGTTAATAGAGGATAAATAATAACAAATAAATTTGCGACGGATGATGCAAGTAAATATAATGAACTATTACTTGTTTGACTATGTCGATAATGTTTCTGTGATCGTTTTGGAGAACGAGACCATATTGTAAATACCCATATATTTAAAATATTTCCAATTGAACCAAATAAATACATAATTATGCCAGCATAGATCATTAATTGATTTGAAATAATATCGATTTTATTCATTTTGTAATTTGTCAATTGAATATGATTAAGTTATCTAAAAAAAAGAAATGATGTTTCCTTCTTTAACGAGAACACAGTTCTTACTCAAATAGGTCCGCAATAGAGCAATGAGACAAGAAAAGAGAAATGTGCATTTATTATATGATAAGCTTAACAGCTGCCTTCTTTTTTTTTGTTCTCAAAATAGAATAATATGAATTCATGACTCGCACTAATCAATAATTAGTATTTTAGATGAATCTATAGGAAAAACTATTCGTTTGACAAGTCTTAACTAAGAAAAAACGGAAGGTATTTTTAAAAATAAATGATTCATAACTAACAATCTTCAATATGTTGTCTGATGAATAAATAGTAACCTTGTTCCGGCCTACGTACGTCATTCTCACTTGGAAAAAAAAGAATGAGAAAATTAATTGCAATGAGAATAAGTATTTTCACACTAAGTCATTTCCTTTTCTCGGGAAAGGATAGTATCTTACATGTATTTGAAATAATTATTTTCTCTTGTAAAATTCTATTTACATATCCGATTTAACGAATGAATTGCGTCTGTAAAAACCTTGGATTGTTACGTGAAAAAATTCTAAAAATGGAATAAATGACGCAAATTTTATCTTATATTAATAAGATTGTTACAATTAAATTGAAGGATTAGAACTTAATTATTTTCTCTACAAATAATAAAAAAAAGAGATTTTTTATTTTTTAAAAATACTCCAAAGTAAAGTCTGATTTTTCTTTGATTCATAGAAAACTCGGAATCTTCTAATTGTATCGATGATCTGATTAAGTTTGACTGAATCAATCTCTTTGAATATTTCTAATATAATAATTGCGAATAGATATGAAATAAATCTAAGTACGTAGGTCGTATAGAAATATTTATCTAATTAATGTATATTCATTTGTCCTCAATATGTCATAATCATATTCCTACACGAAAAATCTCTTGTCTTATATATAATTATTTGTAAATGATACTAAAAGTTATGACTGTTTCAGTTTTACTATATTAGTCCTTGAACATGTTTCCTTATATTTTCTTAATTATAATTTATAATATAAAATAATAGAATCTGTTTTAGACAAATTAAAAAACTAATATTCAAGGTTGAATTTTTCATACCTTTTTCTTTTAGATTAAAAAAATAATGATAAACAAAATAAAATGAATACTTTTCTCTGTGTATGAGATAGTTATATTAATGAATATATAATAGAATTTTCGACAAGTCAATCTCTGATAGTTTCTAATAGATCTAAATCATTTTGTTTGTCAAATAATATATTTCTGGAAAAAGTCAAGTTGTTTCTTGTCTATTATATTAACTTCCTTTTTTTTTATATAGAAAACCTAAATTTGGAGAGACTTAGATTGTCATGTTTATAATAAATGAAATAAAGCATAGATGTTCTTAGAAATCGACATGTCATTTCTTATCATTATTATTGACAGACGTTATGATTAAGATAATTTTCTTGTATTAACGCTGTTCTTTTCTATTTAAATATCTTCTAGTATGTTATTATTTATTTATTCACAATCTTGCCAATCGAGACTAACTGATATTACAATAGAAAAGTCAGTATTGTTCACAAAATTCATAGGGTGAATCTATATAAGCAAAAGCAGATGTTTTTTTAGTTTAATATTTATGTATATGTTCACTTACCAGACATGAAAAATATCATAGAAAATCAATCAATTAATATTCTGACCTAGATAGAGAAAATTTTCCACTCTAATAGAAAACTTAATGATATGTGTTAACGTTCGTGATATAAAATATACTAAAAGATTATTTATATTTTGCAAATTAAAAAAAGTCAAAATACTTAAGTGTTTGGATAATTACACCGAGAAATATGAGTCGGAAGAGAATTTACGCTTGGCAGAATTTGTATATGTCATTTGATGAATCTTTTTATTAATTGTAGAGGAATAAGTTAATGAACCGATTTAATTATAATAATATTCTAATTGAAGTTCTATAACGTAGAAAAAGTATATTATCTCAAGAAAGATACGGTAGTTAGTTGTACTTGATGCTAATGAGTATAGTAAGCTTAAGTGACTATGACAATCTAGGTTCAGCTACCCCTCATTTATGTAAAACATGAAGATGATATGAATACAAATATAAAAGAGTTTTACATAACTCAATGATTGTTTTTATCTTTATTCAAGTCTGTTAAGTATGATCTTTTACCGTTTTTTTTCTAAACATTGTATTCAAATGATGCTACTTGAAATTATAAATTGTTATTTCCAAGCATGCAATATTTTATTTATCTTAGAAAACCGATTAGAAAAAAATATGTATTTTGATTTTGCTTAATAAATCATGTATTTTAACTATTTCCGCGCTACACTCTTCTCATCCGATATTCATGAAATGGGAATCATTAATTCTTCGTTGTCAGAATAATAATATACGATTAGATGATGTTGATAAATTGAATTTCTAGAAAAATATGTTTTGATTTATCTCGAAAATTTAAACTACAAATAAATTTACTTGACGAGAGTAAACTATATAATAGAAAAAGGCATGTATTTCATGAATTTTTAATCATTAAATCAACAAATGTCTTTATTTTCAATTAGATGGATCTATTTGAATAACAATGCTTTAATTAACATAGAGCGATCAAAATTTATAGGATGTAAATGGTCCAAAAAAAAATGTAGCACGTTTACAGCATTGAATGATTGTTGTATTAGTGAAAGAAACGTATTTTCTTATTTTTAGATAATTATCTTTTTTTGGTAAACTACCGACATCTCATATAATTAATTTTTATTTTTATCTGTCTATGTCAAACGGAACTGTATCTATTTTATTGGATTAATTCTTCTATTAGTATCATCCGGTTTTATTGACACGAAACGAAAGTATGTTAATTCTATTATTTAAAAGAAGTTCATATATATATATATGTTTGAATAGAACTTTTTTTCAATATTTAAATATTTGATTAGAAGGAAAAAGCTTTTAAATAAATGAAACATATGTCATATGATTTAAAAGAACAAGAGGTAACACATAGAAAAAGAATGATGATGAAAATAATACAAAACAAAATATTTATTACAATTACATTTTAATGTTTTCTTTAAGGTAAGGTAATATAATAGAGTACAAGGTATCTCATAAATAACACTCCGATAAGACATTTAAATATCACCCCACCACTTCACTCTTGAATGAAATCACCTGATTTTTTTTATTAATGGTAGAATTTTATTCAAAAATTTATTTTTTTTCATACTGATAACATAAGTAAATACTACTATTAAGTGGTTAAGGTTAGTTTTTATAAAAGAAAATTTTACCTGTTGCCAAATATATGAAATATTTCACTTGTTATCTAAGAGAATACTAAGATGGAATTAACAAGTAAATTTGATGTATGATGCAATATACAGATACATAAACTAATTAGTTTAAATGCCAAAAATTCGTTCTCGATAACTAAAAAGTGTCATTGAAACTCTTCAAGTATCGTATTAATAAGTTCGTTAAAAAATGAAAAATATTGCATCTGTTAACTTTTAAACTAATTAGTTTCGAGAATTTTCTTTATGTATGTTAATATCGCATTTTCTTAGGCAACAACTGACACTTTTCTTATTTGGCAACAGGTAAAATTTTCTCTCAGGAAATCAGCCCATAACCACTTAATAGTACTATTTACTTATATTATCAGTACAAAAAAATCAGTTGATTTGATTAAAGTAAAGTAGAAATATTTAAATATCTTATCGAAGACGTATTATTTATGAGATACACTGTATTTCATTATCTCTAGTTTCTTTTTGTTTTGACAATGATTCTATTATTTTTATTTTTTCTTCTAATGTCACTAGGACATTTCTTTTTCTCTCTTTCGTTCTATCATATATGCGTGTCAATTCAATGTAATAGTAATAATTATTGTCAATCTAACAGAAGCGAATATTTGAACATATTATTGTTGTTGACGAACGATAAATAAGCACAAGTAAAGTAGTATAAACATATTTTAGTAGGGTCTCTATCTAACTCATTCGTTACTTAATAGTTCCTATATAAAACATAAAATATATTTGTATTTAAAGGCGATAGAATAAATTGAGTCTAGATACAATATTGACTTTTTTCTTTTTTTGGAGAAAAACATCAGTAGTCATAGGCTTGAGGAAACATAGACAGGATTGAACATGATATTATGCAAATATTAGACAAAAGAACTATCACAGTTGGTTAGCCATGTTATATAAAAAATATTTTCTTGCGTTTAATAAAAAATGTGTAAATAATTTTTTCGTATATGAGTAACAATGTGTTACTAGTGATGTTTTTTCTTTTTCTCCTTGATAAATCACAATCAATCAAGCGATCATGCAATGAAATGTATCATATAGACGACAGAAATCGATTGGGGGTGTTTTTTTCTTCTTCTTCATATCTAATTGCAATTTTATGTCTATAATAGATGAAAGAAATGAAAAACTTTAGAGGTTTTTATGGCGCATCTATATGTCTTTATTTTTAATTAATAATAGAAACAAAAAAGATGTTATTACGTTCTGTTGATGTTCTTGACATTTATGTCGAACCATTTATACATTCGGGTTTTCGTTTACCAAATCAACCCTATTCATATTATTATCGTTCACTTTTTTCATTACATAATGAAACATTATCTGTATGGATTCATTTACTTGGTGCATTTGTTCTTATTGGACAAATCTTTCAACATATTTCTCAATTATCAATTCATTCCTATCCAACAATACTTTGTATCTATATTATTTATAATTGTATTGGTGCATGTATTATGCTTTTATGTTCAGCTCAAGCACATTTATTACATTCAAGAACATTAGCTGATCATTTACGGTCATTTTATCTTGATTATTTTGGAATTAATTTTTATGGTTTTACATCTGGAATTATTCTTTATAAATTTTCACATACAACAGAATATAATGTATGAGTATCATTTTCGATAAAACTGAAAAATCTTGTTATTTTTTTATTTTAGAATACAAATGAAACGCTATATTATATTATTTTAAGTCTTCTATCATTATATTCATTATCAATAGCATGTTTTTGTAAAACATTTTATTGTCGACCATATCCATTTTCACATAAAATTTTACAATGTTCGGGTGTTTTAGTTGTATATCTTTTTCAAATATGGCCAGTTTTACAAAATCTTATTTTATCAAATAGTAAACAGGAAATAACCGAACATGAACAAAAAGCTCTTGTTTGGCATTTATTACAATTTATTTCATTTATTTTAAGTGGTCTTATTTTTGTTGGAAGAATTCCTGAACGTTTTTGTCCTGGTGTATTTGATCTATGTGGTCAATCGCATCATGCCTTTCATTTAACTATTTTTCTTATGGCTTATTGTCAAGCAAATGCTGTATTTGAAGATATGTTGTCTTTGCCATCAAATAGTATTCAATATAATTTTAGTAAAGATTTGTTTTTTACTCTTGGAGTTCTTAGTTTACAATTAATTACAGTTGCTTTATGGTTTCGAATAAGTCGACCTGCAATTGAACGACGTTATAAAATACATTTAAAAGAATAAATAATATTAAAATATTTTTTTGTTTTTAGTTTTAATTGAAAATTGTTTTTTATTGTTGTAAACATAAATTAAATTCACTGTTCATCTTTGATAGGATATTATTTAATTCAAACAAATAAATAAATAAAGATGTTTTCATAAATGAAACTGATATTATATATCGAATTAATTTGTTTTCGAAAAGAACCTACATAGAAATTAGATTCAACAAAATCTTAATTTAGTAATACAAATATATTGTATTAATTGACTGTTTTTGACAGTTTATATTGTATCTCATGAGAAACTCGTGAGATTGAAAATATTCTTTTTATCATAAAAATCAAAACAAAAACAAATTGTATTAAATATGATAAATATCAACTCTTCTTTGGATCTCGCATCATTAATGAATGTGTACTATCTTTTTTAATCATACTAACTATATGAGTCTTTATTTTGTTATTGTGTGTAAGTTTTTATGGGTATATGACATATGTTGCATATTATCGATTGGACTATGAAAGCATCAAATAACTCTGATAACACTACATAAACATAACAACTTTTTCCATAACATAATGACATATATATCTTATATATAGATAACATACTGTTTGAGTACTTTTTTATTTATCCTAAGTTTGATAAATATTAGATTTAGTTTTAATTATTCGCCTACTAAGGTCATTTCCGTAACATAAGCAGTGTCATATAGTTCACTACACGCAGCCAGAAGAATTTGAGGATGGGTGTGGGTGCAAGTGTGCTTATATCTTAGTTATACCGCAACCCAAACGCCACTCACACCCCGTCACTCTCAAATGCCCAGTGACTGACTAGTCTAATTGAGCCACTAAATGAGGGCGGCGGATGATAAATGTATTTGTCCCTAGTAATAATGTTTGATTTTCATATATAATCATCGATGATGATTGAGAACAATCTGATATTCATATGGAACAAAAACATTTTTTTAAACCATATTCTTAATGTTCGATGCATATTTGTTTTCTTTAAAATTCTAATACAGTTCTTATTATTCTAATAACATAATGTATCTTATTGAAACTGTACATTGAAAATTTCATTCTAGTAGAAAGAACAACTTAGTAATAATAATCTTCTTGACATTCATACATTAACTTCAAAGTTATTATTATGTGTCACATTTTTACACGCTCAATAGATCAAACATAAAAATGAACAAAATCTAATAATGTATAGATTGAGTTTCACAATAGTAGTAATAACAATTAGTAAAAGTCACATATAAATTTCTTTGTATTTCATTTTTAGTTTAGAATAGATATTAATACTGCATAGTTATATGATAGTTATCCGATGGTGGAAAAATATAGAAAAGAAGATAGATTTATTCTTTTTATGTATCGTTTAGTTTAATAACATGAATGATGATTTAATAAGAAAAATAGTAATGAGATCATTTTGTATTCTTCGTTTAATCTCAATAAAATAAACTCGACATGTCTAGCTCAACAATAAATAATCTGAATTGCATGTAACTTGAAAAGATTTATTCGAACGACGAAATAATCATCGACGTATATTTCGAATATTATCAACATTTTCTATTTTTAAGTTATTTTCATTTCGTATTCATTGAGTTTTGATAATTTGATCAAGTATACGAAAGAATATTTTTTTTATAGTTACTTCTAATCAATTATATTTTATGACGAAATTTTCGTATAAAAAAAACATCATAAAAATCTTTTTCACATCCTTCTTGACATTTTTGTAGTTTTCATTCTGATACTTCGTTTGATTTTTTATGTCTTCTTTACGTCACGTACAAGATTGAAAGTGTAACGAATATGATGTTTTTTTTGCTTATTCTAATATAAATTGATATTTGCATCGTAACAAAATAAAATTATCATTAGAATCGGTCATTATATACATCAAACCGATAGAATGATACACTCTGCGTACGATATATATTATTAATTTTTTTAATAAAAAATAAAGTAATATTTTATTTATAGTATCAATAATATGAGGCTATGGATAGTTTAGCTATAGACGACAGTCGGAAATTAAGTACATTAGAAAGTAAACAGGTTAATTAATTTTTTATTAATATGCAAAACAGCCGGTGGCTTATGAAATATATATATCAATATTGATAAATAAATGAATAGAAAAGTAATACCGATTCCTAGGAAATGAATAGTTCATTTGTTGATCAAAGAATATTTTTCTTGTGTTAAGTCATTATAAATAAATCATAATATAAACAATAGAAAAGGAAAAGATATAGTTTTTTTTAAGAATATTAATATCTATATAAATCTCATTCTAAGACTGGATGATTTTTATGGATTATTAATAATAGTTATAAATCAAATGAATAACAGCTGTGATATACCAGGCCTGGTTTCAATTTGTATATTGACAATATTGATGTATTATTGTCCTATATGAATAAAACTTCGTAAGAGCAATCTATATATCAATTTTAAGAGTAGAATTGAAGTTGATATATTCTTATCATATGGAATAAGTGTTTTTAGATTCGCATCAGAGTTTTTATCATATTAAAATCTTCTAATCATGTTATATATATCTTGGTCAATCTTGATATTGATCTCATGTGTACTGATAATAAGAATCAATTTAATAGAAAATTTTTGAGATCTAGATTCTTGTCGACGACCGAGTTGTAGACATAAGTCAATCTATGTTGAGAACATACTTGAAGTGAATGATGCTTTTCAGTTAATCTAAACATGATGTTTTTTTTACAAATGAAACATTCATTTCTGTTGAATCGTTATGATTTCTTATCGGTCAATTTAAAAAATGTACATAGAAATTTATTTATTTAAAAAAAAATACAATTTACAATTTTATTAATATACATAATAGTCATAGATTGGAATTCTCCATTCATTCATTTAATAGACCATACGCATCATTCGAACGATGAGAATATCAATGTTGACATTCAATAATTTTTATCCAACAAAAATTTATTCTCATATTTTTTGTTCTTTAATCCAACAAGATTTAAATTGATTCGCTCGAACATCAATTTCCCCACGTTCGAGTGGATCTTTTTCATAAATATTTCTATAACATAAATGTGATATACAACGACGTATACAATTAATCATCTCAATTTCAGCTAATTCTTTTTGATGTTGTTGAAATGAAGTATCAGTTTGTCCTGAAATAGTTGATAAATATTTTTGACATAATTCTTTTTGTTCACATTGTCGATTTGAACGACGAAATGCTTCATCTAATTGACGACGACGTGTAAATGACATTGAAGAACTTTTTTTATTATTCATTGTTGAAAATGTTAAATCAATGAATAAAATAATAATTATTAAGAAGAAAACAAATTGAATATTCATATCTAAACAGATTCAAATAAAAGAAAAAATACGAAACATCAAAGAATACGCCAATATATTTTTCGAATTTTTTTTTTTTGTTTTTAAAAAGACAAAAAAAAGAGAAAGAAAGAAAGAAAAAATAAAACGGCACGTGAAAGAAAGAAAGAAGAAGAAGAAAAAAGACATGCAAATCTTGATGTTTTTTGTTTTTTATGTTTGGTTGTAAAGAAATGAAAATAAACGAACGATTGACAACGAAAGAAAAAGAACTATGGAGAGAAAATGAAAATGTTATTTCTAATTTTTCGCTCCCGATATATAGATAGATAAGATTTATTTATATTTAATATTGTTCGTTGTTTTTAAACCGCTAAATTAATAAACGAATTGTATTGAGCAACATTTCGTTTAAGAATATCCGATATAGGTCCAAGTACACGTTCAAATCGACCACGATCCATTTTAACACATTTTAATGGACCTTTGGCTTTGACTGTAGCTGCACGTGGTCGATCAAATAATAAAGCTATTTCACCAAAATAATCAGATGGACCTAATTTCGATACTTCAACAGCTGGTTCATCTTCCGATGGTTTTTGATAAACAATAGCAGTACCTAAATAAAATCATTGTTTATTTGAGTTTTTTTACTTCTTCCAAAAAAAAGAAAGATTTTTTTACCTTCAGCAATGATAAAGAAGTCATTGCCTTTTTCACCTTGCACAACAATATTATCACCATCATTAAATTGTACAGGTTCAAGAGCATCAGCAACAGTTAAACGTTCCCATTGATCAAGTTCTTCAAGTATTTTAACTTTACATAAAAATTCTTCATACATTTTACGTTTTTTAATTGTTGAACCCATTAAAATACGTCGATAGGTCTGAAAATATTTATTTTATTATCATTTTTTTTTGAAAATAAAATTCTTTTTTTACTTTTCGATCAATAGCCCATAGTTTACAATCTGTTTTAGCTTTAATTGTTGCTGCACGTGGTGTACCATAAATAAGTGCTAATTCACCAAAACTTCCTCCATCTGATATAGCTGTAACACATTTATTATTGACATAGACTTCAACTTCACCTTGATCAATAATATAAAAGAAATCTCCTTCTTCACCTTGTTGAATTATTGTTTCGTCTGGTTTATAATTAAATGGTTGCATTGCATCGAATATATCCGATTTTTCACTATCATCCAAATGTGAAAATAATAAATTCGATTGTATAGCTTTACTTAATGCTTGCATTGTTGCATAATCTTTTGGTATAACAGTTTTAACATAAGATGTTGCATCTTCTTCTTTATATGGTTCAGCTGATACTGCACCACGACGTTCACGTGTTTTAACACTAGCATTTGATGTTGTTTGATTATGATGACTACCTAAATTACCACTATTTCCATCATTTAAATCTCCAAGATCATCATTTTCACCGGCAACACTACCATTTGTTGATTGTTGTTTACTTGTTTGTTCAATTGGTGATGCTGTTTGTTGTTGACGCATACTGGATTTTTTTGTTGTTGTTGATGGTGGTTGACTATCAAGTTTATCGAAATAATTAGAAAGAAATTGTATTGGATTTGATGGCTTTTTTAAACATAATTGGACAATACAATCACGTAGTAAATTTTGGATATCATGTTTAGCTATGTAAGCTTCACAATCGCGTACCGTCTGTTCGGACGACGATGCGTTGTCGACCATGATTAGTTATTTCCTTAGATGTGATGATCGATGGAAGCCTAAAATATATATACACACATATATATATATTAATAATAAGAAGAAAACTAACAGTAAAAAAAAAAAAAGAGAAAACGCAATTGAATTGTAGTATGCCGAACGATAGTGGCAACCGTCAGCATAGAACAGAACACAATAAAAAAATGTTCTCCTCTCAATAGTGCGCGCGTGTGTGTGTGTGTGTGAGAGAGACAGAATCAACCAAGGCCGAGAAAGAGAAAAAAGAGCGCAAAAAACGAGTCATATCCGCTACTACTATAACTGCAACTGTTGCTGGTGCTTCAAGCGATGTGCCTCAATAATAAACGACACAATAGTGTATATGGAATATAGAGATAGAAAAATTCGGAGTTACTACTATTTTCTCTTTCTCGTTTTTGTTGTTATTGATGATGATAATAGTGTTGTCGTTCTCATCGCCACGAGTCTCATAGATGTATAGGAATTTTCATATGGGCGTAACGAAAAAGAATGATAAAATAAGTAAATGACTTTTATAGACATAAATATGAATGTAAGTGACAAAAAAACAATAAATTGATTTAAAAATCTCGAGAAAGATGAAGAAAAAGGAAAAAAAATGCGTACCACATGACGTTGATTTAAAGTTTTATTTAGTTTTTATGATGGAAGAATAGTCGTCAAACTTTTTTTTCTCTCTCATGTCATCGGCACAAGTGTCATTTTCTTCCTTCTTACCTCTTCACATCCATTAGTTTTTTTTCTCTCTCTCTCTCTCTCACTCTTTCTCCTACTGAGAATTCGTTGTAGTAACACAAAAAAATTATGGTTTTATCAATATGGATGACATTTACAGAATGAAAAATAATTCTTTTAAATAAACAACAGGAAATGTCGATGAAAATTATTATAACTACTAAAGAAATAAAAAGAAAAACGTGAAAATGTATACATATATATATTTCTTATTGCTCGTAAATAAAAATCAGTTAGTCTTAACAAATAAAAATCAATCATTCATGTCAATATTTTATATATCTAGACCGTTAGAGGAAAAATAACTAATATAAATATGATAAGAATCTTTATACTGATTTTATTTTTTGTTTAACTCTTCTAAAGTAAAAAATATATTTTATAATCGTAATCACAAAAACAAACGATGGTTATCTTATTTTGTTTTGGTGTTCTTTCACAACAGCTGTCTCTTCTCACGAATTATGATAAAGTTTTTCTTTTAAAAAAAGCGAAATTATAACAACAGCTGTTGGAAAAAAACGAATGTTAACAATGAAATTTTACCTTACATCTTTTGAATCGCGAAAAATAAGACTAAACAAAGAATTTTTGATTGAATTATTTCAACCCTATGAAATAGACATGAAAGGACCCTTATATTATCTTGATATATATTTAACATACGCTGAATAACTAGCGAGGCATGACTAGCAAAAATGAGTGTGTAATCTGTTTTTTCTCATCGTTACTCTTTACCTGTATACATGTCTATTACGCCTGATTTAATATATTACTTGTGGTGATTTGGGTTTTTCTTTTTCTTTTTCTTATAATAAGAAAGAAAACGTGTATAGACGATCAAACTGACAGGAGATGCTTAATACTTCCGGCTTTTGCTTCATTGAGAAAGCTAAGAGTTAAAAAAAAATTTAATCAACACATCAACATCATTCACTTTCCTTTTCATATGCATATATAAATATATATATATATATATTACTTACAGCATGATAATAGTTTAGATTTTGAAAGGAGTGTAAGTTGAATGAGTAAATCGATGAAAAAAAATATATATATATACAGCAAGTCTAAGTTGCTGTCGCCTTATATATATCTCTATCTATCTTGTGTATATAAAAAAAAAGAAAAATCACTCTCGTCATACATATAATGAAGAAGAGCCGAGAGAAAAAAAAAGAGAAAAAATGAAGAAGAAGAATATATTGTTATAGTAAGCGAAGTCCCTTGATAGAAAACAGTATGAATAGCTGTTAACAATTATTTCTTTTTTAGTCGTTATACTCTCGTTTTCCTAACGATCTTTATTCTTTACACTTGATCGTTTGCTCGTTTAAAAACTCGTTTTTCAATCAAAATGAAAACAAAATTATCATGAAAACTAATAGAACAATGATGGTCAAAACAATACGAAAGAAAAGGTCCTACATCGATAATCTTTCTTTTTCTCGACATATCTTTTTTTCTATTCATATATCTTATCATTTACAATCAGTAATTGTCTACAAGCAACAATAACAACAACAACAATTCCAAAAAAGATGTATTCCAAATAATACTGCTTCTTCTAAGACGTGAGAAATGTTTGTAGTATTGAAGAAAACAAAAAAAAAGACAATCGAATATTTCTCGAAGATGAATATATCTATCTAATTTGATTTCGATTGAATGAGCATTTTATGCTATATTATTATCCACATCATGCATTACATTCTTCACTAAATATTCGCATGATAAAACATATCTGGTTTCTCTTCTCTCATTCTTCTTCTTCTTTTTTTTCTCCTTCATATACTTAATATAGAAACTCCTATTTAAAAGCTTGTTAAATTATTACTCTAGATATGAATAGACCACAAATTGATATATATTTCTCTTTGATGATAATGATGCTTGAGATAGAAATTCTCTTACCGAAAAAGAAACGTATACGATCGATCACGCGTAGAAATTATCTGAAAAGAATATTAAAAAATTACTTTTATATATGAAGAAATTAATACATATATAGAAAAAAAGGAAAGAATAGGCAAATCAATTTGTTTTTTATTCGTAAATAACTCGAATGGTCTAAACACGAAGTTTGTTAATTAACAAATAAGAAGAGGAAGAAATGTTTCTACCATCAACAACAAGTATCAGTTAGACGTTACATCCATTTACTCGTTCTTTCTATTCTAGCTTTTTTTTTTTTTGCTTTGCGTTTTTTTTTCCTTTCTTTTCTTGTCTTGACAAAACTCTTCGTTATTCATCAGTCTACTATCGCTTGTTAGTTCTCCTTATTTCTTAAAAGACGAAGACTAAGAAAGTACGGAAACTTTGTCGTATAAATCAGGAGAAAAAAAAAAGGAAAAAAACGAGAGGAAAAAAATCTTTTGTCAATCCTTTATTCCCTTATGTGGTTTTTCTTTTCTATTTTCCGGAAGGAAAAAGGGGAAAAATATTCTTTTAACGTACACAACTCAGTACCATCTATTCATATAGACAGAGGTGACAGCCTAGAAGTTTTATAGAATTTTATCGTCTTCTTCTTCTTCTAAGTATAGAAACTACGTCTGTCATAGACGCCAATATAAAACTAAATGAGATAGAGAGAAAAAAAAATCATTGAATTGTTTTCCTTTCATTATCTAACAAACGATACATTATATTTAACACTAGAGATTTCGATTAAATTTGTCAGGAAAAAGAAATCTTCTTTATAATTAATAGACAAGTCATGAAACTTCTTATCTTTTATATAAGATAAAAAAATGGTAGATGTATTAAATTATGAATATATAGAGCAAAAAAAGATTTCACAGTCTTTCTAATTATTCGACATTTAATATTTATAAAAAAAAAAACTATTAAATTTCCATTTCTGGATACTTTGGTCAAGGACTTTGAGTTTATATGATAAAAAAAAATATCCTAAAAGTTTATAGAAAAAAAAAGAGAGTCGAATGATGCTTAATTCAATTAATATATAACAATATTATTCAAATATTGTGTGTTGATATCATCGTAGTATTTCTACGATGACATAAAATGGAAATATTATTATCAATCGAAAACAGAATGATACTTAAGATGATCTTCAAATATGACGAAGAAATATGTTTTGATAGAATAACAAATCGTAATCGATTTTTTTTTTCATCTAAAAAAAAAGAGAAACAAAATTATTTATTTTAATAATAAATTATTTGAATTGAATCGAATAGCCTAAGAGAAGAAATAATATTTTCTTTTTTTTTCTATAATGGAAATTTTTTACCCAACACGTTATATTGTTTGATATACTTAACAAATAGAGAATTTATTCGGTCGTTATGACATATCTGTGGTACTTAAAGATACGCCAAAAAAAGAAGAAAAAGAAAAAACGAAGGACATGTCATAAAATAGACTTGATTGTCTTGCTATATACTTCAACAAGAGAAACGACATAGTTAGAAGAAAAAAAAAATAATGACCATGCTGAGAAGATGAAATGAATGCTAATGCCATTTATAAACAAAACGGATCTACTTTGTACTTCCTAAACATACAAACCATTAAACTATGATTCTTTTTCTCCTATCAATTTTCGAATAGAAATTCTAATTGAATAAAAGGAAAAAAAACTTATCTTTTTAAAATGTATCTAACAATTTATTTTTATTTAATACTCTACTAATAAATTACTTCTTTTTCTCCTCACAAAGCATGATTACTACATAACTAGATTATTTTTCTCTTTTTTCTCGTTGAATATATAATTTCTAGTAATATTATTGTGAATAGTTTCCTTGGGGAAATACTTAACCAAAAAAATAAGTATACAATTATTGACAGTTGATCCTCAGTGGAAAGGAAAAAAAGACAACTTAGAATTATTTTGTTTGTTTAATAACAAAAAAAAAACAAGTCCAAACAAAACACAGAAAAAAAAGATAACAAATCAATTATAACAAAACAATAAACAACATCACTGATTGCTGTTGTTATTAGTAGTAGTCAATTCAAGAAATTGTCTTAATACATCAATTAAAGCACGGGGTAACATTTCCAAATTTTGTATTACTAAATAATAAGGAAATGGAAAACTATCCAAATATGAACGAAATTCCACCTAAATAAATAGAAATATTTTTTTTCTGTTTTTTTTTATTTTTCTTGTCTTAAATACCTTATCACCATTGAATATAGCTTCATTTATTTGAAAGATTGATGTAGATTTTTCATGATTAATATTATCAAGAATAACAAAAACAATGAATATATTTTGTGACATAGCATGACGAACACTTTTTAATAAACGATCTTTACCCGATACAGTTAAACCACGACCATCAGATAAAATTATTAATAATTGAGATAATGGATTTGATGTCTGAATTTTTTCTTTACTGAATGTATGTGTAACTGATTCCATAAGCTATAGAATTAAATAGAAAAAGAATTTTTTTATATGAAAAAAATAAAAGTAAATCTTACATCTGCTAAAAGTGTTTTAGTTTGATCAAATTTTAATTGTTTAAGTACATGAATACCATTTTCATGATTAAATGTTTGATTTAATGGTTGTAACGTTTTAATATATTGTCCAAATGAAACAATACCAAATTGTCCAATATCTAATAAATTTAATGTTTGTCCAAGTAAAATTAAAGATTCTAAAGCTAAACGTTTAACTTGTAAATTATCCATCGATTGACTGTCATCAATAGCTAATATTAATTGATATTGTCTTTTCGATGGTTTTAAACGTCGTAACCAAATTCTATCTTTACGAAAATCCGATGCTATATATGAAATAATACGTTTCATATTTAAACGTTTTCCAGTTCGATAATCTCCTGAATATTTCGTTCGTTGTGTTGGTTCAAGTAAAAGACGAAGTTGTTCACATAATTCAAAAACATATGGTTGTGTTAAATATTCTAATTGTGTCCAAAGTTGTTCAGCATTATTACCTTCATCTTGAAGATTTTCATTTGAATGTGTATACCATTCTTCTAATTGATATTCAATTTGTTCAGTTAAATCATTTGTTATTGGTTTAACATGTGCTGTATAATCAAATTGATGTTCAACTGTTGTTGTTGGAATATAAGGTTTATCAATTGTTATCATTTCATTTTGTTCTTCAGTTAATGCTGATGATGATGGTTGATCATGTATGGAAGATGATTTATTTTTATTTATTGGTTCTTTTTGTAATGTTGAAGATAATGGTTTTGATTGTTCTTCTTCTTTTTCTTCTTCTTGATTATCAATAATCATTGGTTCAGGTTCTGCTGTTTCAACATTCTCTTGTTCATTAAAATTTTTCGCTTGTTGATCAGTTGCTGAATCCAGAATTTGTTTTTGTTGTTGAAGATCTTTTGGAATATTTTTAGCATGTGCATAAATTTGTGTTTGTTGATCATCTTGTTCTAATTGTGGTATATCATCAATCTTATTTTCATCTTCATCAAGTTGTTCAATATCAAGTGCTGCTTTTAAATTTTTATCAATTAATGAAGCTATTTCACTTAATGTTCGTTGTTCATTGGATTGATTTGATGTTTTATTATTATTTTCTGTTTGTAAATTCTTATCTAATTGTTGTGTTAATTGATTTTGTTCATTTGATGATATTTGTTGTGTTTGCGATGTTTTTGTTGATGATGATGATTCACCAATATTCTCTTGTTTTTTTTGTTCTTCTTCAAATGTTTCGGCATTTGCAAAAGTTTTTTCAAGTTGATTTGGTTGATTGGCTGAATCAATATTTGATGTTTTATCTTGTGTTAAAGATGATTGTTCAAGTTGTTCTTGTTCTTGATCAGGAATATCATCAGGTATTGGATTTTTACTTGAGTTTATTTTATCATTTTCATCTTCTTTTCCTTCTTCTTCTTCTTCGATTTGCTCTTCATTATCCATATTTTCATCATTTGGTAATTCAATATTTTCATCTTCTTGAGGATTTATCTCATCTGGATTATCTTCATTTGGTTCTTCTTTTTCATCACCACCATCTAAATCCATATTGTCTGGAAGTTCTAATGGTGGTTCTTCAGCATTTAAATCATTATTTGATGTTTCAACTTGTTGATCATCATAATTTGTATTTGCATCAGGATTATCTTCAATATCTTCATCAGCTAAATCTAATTGATCATCTTTAGCTGAAAGACCCTCACGTTTTTCTTTATCTTTGCCAGTAGCTTTATCAGTTTCATTTGGTTTCTAGAAAAATATATAAATTAATAGTTAGTTCAAAGAATTCTTCTTTTTATTCAGATTTACTTTTTTATCTTCGTCTTCTTCGTCTTCTTCATCTTGTTTATCTTCATCACCCCATTTTTTCTCATCAAATATTTCACCTTGATCATCTTCATCAACATCACCCATTTGATCTTCAATATTATCATCATTTGTTTCACTTTCATTATCTTCATCATCATCATTTTCTTCGTCTTCATTTTCTCTAAAAAAAGAAATTTTATGGTTTTTTGTTTCGAAAAGAAAATTTTGTATTTTACCCTTTTGATGGATCATCTGCTGGCGCTTCAAAATCAAATGAAACTTCAATACCATTTTTTTCTTCATCAACATTTTGTTGATCATCCGTTTTTTCATCATTATCTTCTTTTTCTTGTCCAGGCATTTTCGCTTCATCTAATTGATCTTCAGTTTCAATTTGATCTGAAACATCTTTCGCATCTTTTCCTACTTGTCCATCACCCATACCAGATACACCACCTTCAGTTTTTTGTTCTTCACCATTTTTATCATCTTCACTTTCTTCTGGTGGCATTTGAAAACCATCACGTAATAAACTTATAAATGTATTACTTAATGATAAATAGATTTGTGATGTCGAATAATGATAATATATAAAACGATATAATAATTGTTCAACTAATAAATGTATTTGATGAAAGAATGTTATTGATTTTGATGTTATTGATTTAGGAATTAATTTTGTTAAATTTGGAAGATCAAATTGAGTTATATAATTATTAAAAGAATTATAAATATGAACAAGCCACATGGAAGATGTTGAATCAGTTGGTGGAGTTATTGAAGATATATCACTCAATGTGGTTATTAAACGTTTTGTATAACGACGTATTGGTTTTGAATTGACAGATGGAATTGAATCTACATGAATAAAACAATAGTAAAAAATCATAAAATGCTATTCCTTGTATGTTTAGAGAACTATTAAACAGGAAGACATTCTTTCGGTATCCATCCTTTCCCTTAAAAAAATCTGAAATAAGGTCAGTTAGTTTATCTCACTCCGTGATATATTTTTTTTTGTTTTTTATTTTGACTAATCTTCAAAAATAATTCTAATCTTTTTACAGAGAAATCATTGAGTCTAATTAATGTTATTCGTTGAAGTATATGCGATTGTTTGTATTGCATTCTATTATTTTAGTTGTTAATAATTCAGTATAGTACTTCAAGGTTCACCTCGAAATGTATGCCAAAGAGTATTTCCCTTGATATTTTAATAAGTAATCGGAAAATGTTTCCATTCAAAACAAATTTGTAATTATAACATAAAATCTAAGGATTTTAAAATAATAGTGTCGGTCGAGGGACACTAGACAAACTCAGTTCTATAATCAGATTTTTAAGCTCTATTACGCTTAATTTTGTGTTGTTAAGCTGTTAAAATAAACAATGATTTTTTTTGTCTAAATTAACTGCTAATGTATCAAGATTATATAGTGTATAAATATCGTCTATTAGTATTATGTTTGAGAATTTATACATATAAATTGGCGAATGATATATTTCTACATCTAAATATTAGTACGGGATGTCTGATTGAGGGTATGGGATTTCGCCCATAAATAGATCTAATGATGTCTACAATATTCCTAGAGTTTTATGCAAACCGAATGTTTCCTTAGGAAGTTACTAATTTTCCAGTAAATACTCATATTTTAACAAAATATTCTAACATCGAGATTTTTTTCAAAACAGAATATCGCGTGAAGATAGTATTGGTTTCGATTGAAACTTTAGGAATATTGTAGGTATCATTAGATTATTTATGTGCGAAGTGTCGTGTCCTCAACCGAAGATCCAGTAAAATAATCAAATTTCGAGAATAAATCCATTTGAGGTTTTTCATACGTCATTGAAGTGTACAAGTAGTCAAAAGATAGAGTCTATACCTGGCACCTTCCCTCGTAAAATATTATTTTTTATAATTAGAAAGTTGCTTATATCCATCCAAAGTGGCTTATTTATAATTATTAAAAAGATTCGATTTATTCTATAATTTTAATCCAAGAGAAGAAAAGTAAACTATACCTTTTTCTTGTTTAAGAATATTAATTTGTGAAAATAGTTCATAAATTTCAATAAAATTCTTAACTAATTGTCCAATAAACATATCATTTGGAAAGTTCTTTTCATCGACAAATAATTTTTCCATAACATTTTGTATTTGTTGTTTGGTTAAACAAATTTCTTGATGTAAATTGTTAATATCTTTTAATAATGGATGATAATCAATAACATTATCATAAAATTGATTTAATTTTTCGATTAATAAATATAATCTTTCTAAAAATTTTTCTAATAAATCTTTAAAATCATTTGTATTTAATAATTGTATATAATTCGGTAAACTATCAATAATTGGAATATTTTCCGCTGAATTTGATGGTATTGAACGAATAATTAATAAAAATGAATAACTTCTTTCAATTAATGAACTAGTTAAATGATATAATTGATCAACATGATTTAAATCTTTGAATTGATATTGAAAATTTTGTTTTGAATAAATAATAAATTGTTTTGAAAATTCTTGATATTGTTTTAAAAATGAATTTAAAAGAATTTTTTGTTGATAAATTAATTTAATTAAATGTTCTGTAAAACCTTGTATACGTTGATATATAACTGGATCAATAGAATTTTTTTGTGAATGAATTTTCAATTGATGATGTTGATAAAGAATTTTATAATAATTTTTATCTGTTTGTAGAAAAATTCCAGAAAATTTTTCTAATATATCTAAACGATTTTCAATAATTAATTTTTTCTTTTTCTTTGTTTCAATGATTCCATAATTATGTTTTAGATTAATTTCAAAATATTTTAATTCAACTGATTCAATTGTATTTAATGTTTGTTTATTTAAATATACTAAACCTTTACGAAATGCTAAACCTATTGATGTTAATTTTTTAAATAATTGTGTTAATAATTGACGTTTTTCTGTATATAATTGTTTAAGTTCTTTTCGATCATTTGTTTTAATATTCATTGAACTAATTGTTGTTGACAATTGTTTAAGAGAATTGGTATCACTTTTAATTGAATTGAATAATGTAGTTGAATTTAAATTAAAGAATTTTTTATTATATTTTATTTGTATTAAACGGAAAAAATCTTGATTATCATCTTGAAATTTAATTTGATATGTTGAAAAATATTTTTCAATAGGTTGATTAAGTAATTGTTTATATTTTTTAATTGATTTAAATAAATATTTATGTGATTTATCAATCGATTGTTTAAGTGCATAATAATTTGTATCTTTCCATTGTTGAATTTTTAAAAATTTTTTAATATCATTTTCAATTGGTTTTCTTAATATTTGTTTTTCATTTTCAATATAGTCAGAAAATTGTTGATAATATTTTAATATTGAATTTAATATTAAAATATTTTCATTATGAAAATATTTGGAAAATAATTGAAAAATTTCTAAACGTATTTGAAAATCACCAAGAGTAGCTTTATGAATAAATTCATGTAAAATTTTTTCAAATAAAACTAAATCATTTTTCGAATTCATTATACCAAATAAATGTAACCACCAATTTTCAATTGTTGTTTTACGTTGATTATAATCAATCATTGATAATGATTGTTCATAACAATTAAATTCATATTTACGAAATTTAATTATTATTACTGTTAATTGTTCCATTTGTTCATCAAATGTGGTTTGTAGAGTTTTTGATGCATATGTATGTTGCCAATAATTTAATTTATCAAAAAGTATATCAAAACCATAGAGAAATTTAATTAAAGAATTTTTTATTGAAAATGATTTTATACGTTTAATAACAAGAAGAATTTCATTTAATGTTGGATGATTTTCATGTGTTATTAAAAGATTTGTTGTACGTTGTTCAATTGTAGATAATAATGGATAACATTCAATTATCATTGATGGTTTGGAATCTTGATAAATATCAAATGGTTTATTAAGATTTAAAATATAACTGGAGAAATTCTCTTTGGATTCAATTGATAAACGAATCATATGAGTTATTAAACGATTATCTTCACCAAATTCATAAATACTATTGAAAAATGGTTGAAGAAAATTATTTAAAGAATTTTTTTCATTATGAAGAATTAATGAAAAATATTCATAGAGAAGAAAATATGGAAGAATTGAAGATTTTTGTGTTTTTTCTTCATCTGGTTTAATATCTTCATTGTCAACATTTTGATTCATCGGGAAAAAATCTTGAAATTCAGAGTCAAATGATGGAAATAAACGTTTATATTCATAATCATCTTGTTCACTTTCAAGTTCACTTATTTCATGACGATAGATACTTGATGATATACGTTTTTCTTCATCGATTTGTCGTTGTTCTTCAGACCATAAATAATGAACTGTTTCAACATATGATTGTAATAAATTATTAAAATTTGTCGATCGATTATGATTTATATGACAAGAAACAACAAGATATTCAGCAATTAATACAAAAAACCTAAACAGAATAAAATTTATATAAAGAAATGTCCATTCAGATTCGACTCTTCTGAGTTAGTCAACTCTATCTTTATTGCAGATGTAAAATATCAAATTCTCCTTGTCGACTTGTTTTCAGCTTAGACTAAACGATACGACTCTTCTTCAAAGATTAAAACTGACTCTATTTGCGTTATAACACTAAATCGATAATATAAATTGCTTTTAATAGCACTATGTAGAATGCACTTTAGATTTAATAGAATTAGCGAACGAAGTCGAGCTTTCTGTTTGTTTCTATAAATATATTGTTTTTAAAAGTTTCGGAAGTATTGTCTTACATGATAATTAAATAATGAAAGAAAAGAATTTATCGGCTATATCGGAACTTTAGTCTTGTGGGTGTGGGTGTGAGTGTTTATCCACTTTCAAGCCTATCCACCCTCACACTCTTCTCCGAATTCGTATCTTCTATCATAATACACGACTTCTTCCCAGTATCTCATCAGTAATATAAAGGTATTGTATTATACATAACTTGCAATACATAAACAAAAAAAGTGTGACTAGTGCACTGAATTCTACAGATTGTTATGTATGAAATAAAACAAAGAAGAAGATATCTTACTGTGTAAAACGTTCTGTTGTCATTTGTTGTTGAACAAATGTTCTTTTTTCAAATAAATCAAATGCAATATCATATAAATTGAAATGATTTAATTCAAATGGAAAAATACATAGATGAAAAATCTTTTTATTTGTTTCATTATTTAATTGAAAATGATAATCAAATGCTAAAATAATTTGAAAGATTTGTTTCATTACAGGCATTGTAATATCTCTATAAATATAAAATTTTTCTGCTAAAATTATATTTCGATAAAATTCCACAATATTTTTTCTCCATTGTCGATAAATTTTCTTATCTTTTTTCTGATAAATTTGTTCAATAAGAAAATCTTTATTTAATAATTCATTAATTAATTGTTTTGTTAAATAAATAATTAATGTTTGATATTGATCATTATTAAAACGATAGAAATCATTTTGTTCGATTTGTATTTCATTTAAAATTAATTTCATTTGATTTTCCCATTGATGAATTGTAAGATTTAATGAATATTCATATTGTTGTTGATATTCAATACGTAAATTATATTCCGATGATATTTCCGATTGAAATTTGATTTTATAATCATTTATTATTTGTTCATAGATAAATGGATCAATTTCACCACGTGGTTGAATTAATTGAATTTTATTTAAACTTTGTTCAATTAATTCTAATGAAAGATTTTGAGAATTAATTGAAGAATCAGTATCTTCTAAACAATTTCGAACAAATTCTTCAAGTTTTGATCGATTACATTGAAGAAATGAACCATTTAACCAAAGAAATTTTGACCAAAAATGATTTTGTTTATGAATTTTTTCATATAAACCAAATGGGACATTTGTTGAACGAATATTAAAATAATATAATAATGAGGTTGATGATGTTTGTTCAAGCCATTTTTCAATATAAATTTCATTGATTAATGGATTTATTGAATAGGATATTAATTGACAAAAATATTCATCAGGATTTTCAATATTATAAAATGGAATTGTTAATGATATAAATGGATATGAACAAGTATTTGGATGAATGTATGAATCTATCCATTGATAATTATAATAAAGTATCGATTCAAATGTATTATAAAATAATATATCACGATCAAATATTGTTGTAGAATATTTTAATTCATTCCAACTTGTTTCAATTTCATTGAAAATATTTAAGTCAAAATTCTATTAACAAATAAACAAATATATACATGTAGAGTAGTAAAATGCGGAATCGAAAAAGTTAACTCCGACTCTGGAATTCATTAATGCAGAGAATGCAATCTATTTTGACTGATAATCTCTGATATTGTTTCTTCTTTAACCCTTTCGTTACAGAAATGTTTTTTTTTCGGCATTGAAACTTAGTAAATCCTATTACTAGCTGTTTTTAGAGATAGGGACCAGTGACGGATTGAGAGGTGGATGATGAAGCGACTGATCTTGCCTTTTCAAAAATTGTAGTTTACGGCTGATAGGGACATATGTAAAAAGTAATTCATCTATTTTCGTATGTGATATATGAAATATAAGTAATACTGAGCCTTGCTATACTTGAACGGAAATTTTAACTGCTGACGTTTATTAGCTGTAAAGCTTATCGACTATTTTCATGAAATAGCAAAGAACAACTTTGACGATGCGATTGTGAGGATCGAAGAAGAAGAGAAACCCACATCTACACCCTTCCCTACAATACCCTATTTAAATTGCTTTCAAGAGATCGCACACCGATTTCTGTGAATTTTATTATAAAAAAGAATAATTAAAAACGTGTGTAGCTCTTCTCGTACTATCGTAACGAAAGGGTTGATACAGAAGTATGCTCGTGTTCTCCTTATAAACTCGCATGGATTTAGGCATTTATTTAGCTTTTGTAGAAAATTAAACTCATGCTGATCTTTATAAATAATCACATCACACGATCTGATCGTTGCGCATAAATCTACCTGATTGTAACAATAAATATCGCTGAAAATTGGTTACATTAAAACATGACCTTAAACGAGCTGAGAGAAGAAATCTTATCAGTTAATTAAAAGCGCATTTTTTTTGTAGGGTATATTTACTGATATGAATCGAAATCTTATATGTTTAAAATAACAAATATACATATATGGCTTGTTCTGTTAATATAACAAAAATGAATTACTTGTAAATATTCATAGATTAAATTCATTTCTACATTCTAATCTATCATGAGAAAAAAAATATTATAATTTCTTTCTAATGATAGAAATATCATTAAAAAATGTTATTAAGAATGAATATTACAATGCTAAAATTATTATCTTTTCACAGATTCTATGTTCTACGAGTTTCTTCAAACATTCTTTCTTATTATCAGCAATGTATATCTATGATTTTAAACAGAAAATAATCGTGTCTTAAATAACTAAAAGTTCTTACAAAATATTTTTACAGTAATAGGATGTGTCTGTATTCGCTATTAACTATAGATTAGAACTGATTGTAAGAAAAAAATGACTTACCTCAGTTTGTTTTAATTGTTGAAAATATGAAATTGATTGTTTTTCATAATGAAACCAATATTGTAAATATTTTTCTATATTTTTCTCGGTTTTATTATCCAAAAATAAATCAATTTGATTAAAAACTTGTTTTTGTCGACATAAATAATCATATTCCGATTTTGTTTTTATCAAATAATGTATTTGAGTTTGATAATGATTATAAAAAAGAAAAAATTCATTTTGTATTAACATATATTGTTCATCAATTTGTTTGATTTGTTCAACAAATAAAGAATCTTCTATATGAATTAAGAAAAGTAAACGTATATATGGCCATGCAATAATCAAATGAAGACGACGATTTATTAAATTTGTTGATGGTGATTCAATTATTGATAGAAACCAACGCCATGAACGATAATATGAAAATGATAAGTCATTATCATTAATTAAATCAGATCTAATGAAATAAAATTCAAGTGATATGTTTTAGTCGTATAGAAGAAGAAAAATGTTAATTTAGAAATTGGATGTAAATCTATTATTTCGACCCAAGCGGGCAAAAAATTGGAAAAAAGCGTTTAAGTGCTCAATCAAGAACCGCGATTGTAACTCATTCACGCTTAATAATAAAACGTCATAGACGGCGTTTTGGACGTAAAGTCACCACCTTTATAACATTAAAACGGTGGAAAACTCCTATTTTTAACGCTTAAACGCATGGATTTTAAACTCTAAGATAAACGCGCGTTTTAACGTTATAAAGGTGGAGATTTTATGTCCAAAACGCCGTTTATGGCATTTTATTATTAAGCGTGAATGGGTTACAATCGCGGTTTCCGATTGAGCGTTTAAACGCGTTTTTCCAATTTTTTGTCTGCTTGAGATAAGAAGCTCAGAAAGAGTGTTCGAAAGATGCGGATGAGGGTTTGGAAACAAAACAAACCCTTTCAATTTCACCTGCCCTCACCCGCACGCATCTTTTGAGTTTCCGGATTTGAAACTAGGGGGAAGAATTCGGTTCCCTCTACGAGATTTTGAGTCCCATAATGAATAAAATACTTCGTAATAAGGACTGAGCCACCCCTGGGTCGTATTGACTATTTGTAAAATAGAAGAAAAGATATATCTAAACTGTACATTGATTTTTGTTTCTCGGGGTATCTCTTACAAGTAAATCGAAAACATTATTAATAGAAATACTTAATCCAAATTAGAAATTAACAACTTATTGACACTCTATTTATTAAAGTACTTACGAAGATAAAGCTCTGAGAAAATAATCTTTCATAGCTAACCAAAATTGTCCATCTGTATTTTCAAAAAATAATTGTTCATCAATATATTTTGTTTTGACACTTTTTCTATATTGTTTTGTAAGAGAATCATGTTCAACTAATATTCTTAATAATACATTATTATTTATATTATTAATTTCTTTGGATAAATTTATTAAATTTATTTGTTGTGGATGTTTGGAAATAAATAAATCATATTCAATTGATATCGTTGATAGTTTTTCAATAAAACGATAGAATAATAAATGAAATATTCTTGAATTATCTTTAGATGAACAAGACCAAAGTGGAAGATTTCGTTTATATGAAAGTGTTAATTCAGGTTGTAAACATAAATCATTTATTCGTGTTGGAAATATAAGAAAATTTGAAGATATTGAATTGGGTTGAAATTCATCAATTAATAAATCAATTTCATTATTTAAACGAGTATTTAATGTTCGATATGCTGTTTTTATTGATAAACGAAATGGTTCATTTGTTGTATGAGATAATTCATTGAATAATAAACATGCACGAATTAAATTATGAAATGCAAATGTTGATACTAAAATAAATCATAAAAATATTTATATATATATATTTATTTAGTTAAAAATATTAAGTAACCTTTTTGACAAAGTATATTATGAATTTGAATAAAATCTTCTTGTTGTTTTTCTTGATAAATTTGACAAGCTTGTAATAATTCTTTAGAATCATAATGATTATATTCTTGTTGACCATCAATATAAATTTCACAACAACGATTTCTCATTGGTCTTGAAATTTCTCCATTTCCTTGTTTTGGATCCATAGTTAAAATAAGTCGAAAATCTTTATGTGGTTTTATAACTGAACCTTGTCCACCACCTTCATTTAAGATTAATTGTCCATTCGGTTCTAATAATGAATTTAAACGATCTAAAACACTTAATGAACATGTATTAACATTTTCAAGTATTAACCAATCTCCTTGTCTCATTGAACGTATTAAGATTGATTCAATCCAAACAAAATGTTGTTCTTGTGAATATTTTGATATTAATTTATCAATTTCATTGGATGGTAAATATTGTTTTAATTCATTTAAATATTCAATTGTTATTTGTTTATTTTCATAATTGATTTCATTTAATAGATTTGTTTGATTTTTTTTATAATATTCTTGTTTTAATAAATCTAAATGATATTTTGCATATTGTTGAAAATTAAATTGTTCATAATTTCCTAATAATTCATTTGTATCAATAGAAGAATTTAATTCAAATGTATGACATTGATGACCACATAAACATGATAATAAATGTATTAAAGTTGATTTGGATGAACGTGATGATGGACCAACTAAAAGTATTGGCCATGATAATGATAAACATTCTAATATCGATGAAAGATTATCTAATTGATGACGCATTAATAATAATGGATGAGTTAAAGATAATGTTGGAAGACGTATAGATTCACGCGGCCATACAGTTGTACCAATCTAAAAGAATATTATTGAAATGTTAGAATTACAGCTTTCTCCAGAATAAATTTTTTTGGCAGAGACATAGAAATCCTGGCATTTTCACCTACTATTTAGTTAAAACTAATTCATCAGTAATTTGTGAATATCGATGGAATTAAATAAGGAGAAAATCGAAAACTTTGAGAGTAGATCCTCGGATCCAAGGCACAGCTATGATAAAATTATCCTCATAAAAAACGAGATCTCATCCAGTACTTTATCTGGCGGGTGGGCTAAGTGGGCGGCGCCCATCCGACAAACGAGACTTAGACAAAGTACTGATGGGCGTCGCCCCTCAGGAGTTCTCATTTCGCACACCCAACATTTCGATTTGCACACCTAACAAAAGAAACTTGGGTAAAACACTGATCCCATCAAATCGCAAAACAAAAATGCCCACCTTATGATTTTCTCAAGCGCCTGAGGAAAGATTTGTACCTTTTCGATCTCTCCTCATTCAGTTATAGAAATGGCTTTTCTTTAGTATGTTCGTACTTCATCATGTCGCTAACAAATGATTTTGCCCATGTATGATATATATTTACCTGTAATATTTTTGAATTTATTTGAAAATCAACTTCAATTGGTTGAATATTCCATCCCGTTGTTTGTTCATATATTTGTTTAATATGATCTTGATCTTTTTGTGTACGCATACGTTTAATATAAATTAAATTTAATGCTTTATATTTATTTAGATTATTTTCATTAAACATTTGACACCATTTTAATAAATCACGTAAATTAAAATCCCATTGGTTAATATTAAATTCTTGTTGAATTTTTTCATTAAAATTTAACATTTTATCAATAATATCATCCGAAATTTGTTCATATAATTGTTGACAAATGATTTTTAAATCAATTCTTTCAAGTATTGAAAAATAAATAATTGTAAAACGATTTAAAAATGATTTTGGTAAACCTTTTCGTCCACTAACTTGTCCATATGGATTTTGACAAGCAAATATACGTAATGGAACAGATGTTTGTTTATCATGAATATGAAATGTTCGATTTAATTCAGGAATATAAATTTCACCACGATGATCTAAACATGCATTTAATCCTTCTAATACCGATTGATTAGCTAAATTGAGCTAAAAAGAAAAAGAAATTTATTGGTCTACTAATCAATTCTAAATAAAATAAATGAAATTACTTCATCAAGAATAATCCATTGATTCGTTTTAATTGCTGTTAATAAAGGTCCATCATGCCATTTAAATTTTCCAGCTTGTCCACTTTCAACATCTGGTAAATCTGAACCAAATAAATCACTTATATCTGTTTGTTCAGATAAGTTAATTCTTATAAAAGAATAACCAGCTAATTTTGCTAATGCCATAACTAAACTTGTTTTTCCAACACCAGGATTACCTTCAATTAAAATAGGTTTATTTGTTAATTGCATTGCACGTAATAGTCGTTGAATATTCGATAATGTTGTTGGTGCTTTAAAACTATATTCATCTTTATCATTAGAATTAATTGTTCCACGTGGAATTGAATATGAACCAAATGTTAAATTATTTGAATTCATTTCTATTGTTAGTGTTAATTTCGATATTTGTGTTTGTTGATTTGTTACAAATTCAATAATTGATTGCTTTAATGATGATTGTGAATCTAATGCATCAATAAAAACTAAATAAGCACCATGTTCATAGGAATATTGCCAATTATTTGTGTTTAAATTTATAAATGATATCCAACTAAGTATATCTCGAACAGTTGTTAATATACTATAAAAGAAAAATAGTGAGTATAAGTGAAAGTTTTGCAGCTGTCCAGGAATAATAGGTTAATATATTACCCATCGACCCTTCAGAAGAAGTTATGATCATAAATTTTGAATTCAACTTTGCTAGTTCGCAACACTCTTCAAAATACACTACAGTCAAATTCTATTACATAGCAAATTCTCTGTCGCACCTTTAAAAGTTTTCAGTACCAATAAATACATTTTCTTTCAGAAATAAAGGAAGCTCAAGGACTTAAAGATCATCAGATGTCTTTGATACGAATATATGTGACAACCCCAATGCGACTACACTGCAGTATTTTATCTATTTTTCGTTTTTCTGATGGGCGAATCGAATTTTAGGGTTGGCGGCGCCCACCCTTTGAATAAAACACTGCTACGCTAACAAGCCTTATCGATAAAAGAAAATTCTTTTACCGTTTTGTTGTTGCTATTGTTCGAAGATATTGAATGAAATTACACATCAGCGTGGCGCATTCTTTTCGTTGATCTTCATTCTTTATTGTTAGATTATGCACAATAATTGAATATAAATCATCAATAGATTCACTGGGTGTACACCATATTTCAGTAAAACGATTGCGTAATGCTGGTGAAAGCTAAATAAAATGATTTTTGTTTTTTTTTAATGAAATTTTCTTTTTCTAAAAAATCAAACCTCTTTTTTTCCAAAATCTCCACCAGGATTCATTGTTGCAATTAAACGAAATTTTTCATGAGCTTTTATTATATCAATATGTTGATCTTCATTATTATAACCTTTTTCAGCTAAAACTAATTCTTTTTCCGGTTCTAAAACACTATTTAATCGTTCAAGAACACTATCATCAGCTAATGAGATTTCATCAATAAGAAAAAGAGCACCTTGTTTCATTGAACATACTAAAGCACCATCTTGCCATTCAAATAAACCTGGATTATTATTCTCCGAATTAGAATTTTGTTCATTTCGACGAACAGGTCGAATACTACCAAGAAAATCAGCACTTTCAGTTGTTGTATGACAATTAATAGTAAATAATTTTTGTTTATTTATTTGTGCTAATATCTCACATATTGTAGTTTTTCCACATCTAATAAAAGAATTTTCTATAAAAAATTTCTAAAAGAGAAAAAAAATCTTACCCAGTTTCTCCAACTAATAAAGCAGGTTCATCAAATTCAATACATAATGCACAAAGTATTGCTAATCGTCTTAATGGTTGTGTCCAAACAATATGTTTTAATTGATTATTATTTTTAATTTGAGCCCAAATTTGTTCAGTTGAATATGAACTACCTTGTTCACCAAATAAAACATTTTCATCAATAATCATTTTTTTTTCACAGAAATATTTTTCAATAATTTGTTTAATAAAATTTCTATCTTCAAAATTTCTTGATCTTCCAGCTAATAATAAATAACCATGTTCAGCTAAAAATTGTTTATAATTTTGACAATTATTTTGATATTTGGTATAACGTTGTGCCCAACGAAATAAATCTCGTAATGTTATTAAACTTGTTTTACCAGCAAAAATACCTTTTTGTGAACGATATTTTTGTAAATCAATCATTGTTTGGATTAATAATTTTGAATAGGATTTTGGTAATTGACATTTTTTTTCAATAATTATTTCCAATTCATCTTGCGGTAAATTATCAAAATGTAATTCAATAAAACGATTACGAAATGCACGTGATAAACGTTTACGTCCAGCATATTGTTCTCCAGCTGGATTTTGTGTAGCAAATAATTGAAAACGTTCATGTGCATTTATTAATTCATTTGTTTCACTTAAATATAATTGTCTATTATCATCTAATAAACGATTTAATGCTTCTAATATATCACTTGATGCTAAATTTAATTCATCAAGTATAATCCACCAACCATAACGCATAGCTTTTATTAATGGACCATCTTGAAATATTAATTGTCCTGTTGTTGATGAACATGTATATGTACCAAGATATTCCGATAAATCTGTATGTTCATGATTATTTATTCTCAGACATTTATTTCCTGTTGCTAATGCTAACCAATGGATTAAAGATGTTTTACCAACAGATGTTTCACCTTGAAGAAGTATTGGATATGATTTAGCAGAAAGAACACGAATTATATTGGTTAAATTTTCATCAACTGTTTTAGTAAATATATAATTTTCATTCTGACGTGGACTTTCATCACCTTTTAAGACATAATAATTTTTTATTTCAATATATTTTTTAATATGTTCATTGGAAACGACCATTTGACTTGTTTTTAATATTGTTTCAATAGATGGTTTGCCTTCTAATATATACAAAAAAGGTCATACATTCGATATGAAGACTAATAAATTTGTTTTTTTTAGAACTTACGTAATATTGTTTGATGAATTAATTTTTGAACATCGTGATAATATGATCGATCCAATTGACTAAAAAAACTCAAACAAAAACCCTAGAAAAAATAAATTAAAATTTCTTTTGAGAATATTATTATATTTTTACTTCTAATAAAGCTCGAGAATGTGATTTTCCCGACCAATTTGTTGTTGCAATATATCTTAAAGCACGACATAATGTTCTTAAACTAAAATAAATTAAATATAAAAAAACTTTTTTTTTTATTACTAAATTATTAAACCTATATGTAATTGCTATTCGATTGCTTGATGTTGATGATGATGTTATTAGAAAATTTTTAACTTTCAATTGAATTTCAATATAAAATGTTACAATTCGATCAATATATTCTTTTGGTATAGTTGTTTGATTGAGGTATTTATCAACAATGATTAAAAATTCTGATCGTTCATCACATTCATCAACAAATAATTCAGTAAATCTAATATGAATTCAAAATATATTAATTTAATTTAAAATATATAAGTAAACAAACCGATTTCGAATACCAATTGGTATATCACGTTTTCCAACGTCGGAAGCAGGATTCATACAACCAAATAAACGGAAATTTGGATGACGAACAATTGGTTGTTTATCACTAAAATACAAAACATAATTATTATTTATGAATTTTTTCATTTTAATCAATGAGTGTACCCTCTTTCAGCAAGCCAAATAGTTCCTTGTTCACTTTCAAGTATTCCACTAAGTAATTGAAGAGTTTCTGATGAAGCTAAATTAATTTCATCTAATAATATCCAATCACCATTACGTAATGCTTGAACAAGTGAACCCTATTTAAAAATAAATAAATATATTTCATTCAAATTTTCTTTTTCTTTTTCGTTACTTCAACAAATCGAAAAATAAGTGCAGATTTATTTTTCGCTTTAAATGATTCTCGTAATTTCATAAGTTGTGTTCGTAATGACGAATCTTTATCTGTATATTTTAACATTAATTTAATTGCTTCTTTATATCGTTTTGATTGAATAGATTTCTACAAAAAATAAAAAATATTTTTTCATAGAAATTATTCGTTTTTGATTTACTTGAATTTCTTCAATATAATCATTTGTTGTTTGTTCAATCGTAAATTCTCGATAGATTTGTCTTAATAATAATAATGAATCAAATGGTTTATAGCCACCAAGTAAATCAACTGCATCACTCTGTTGACTTAAATTAATAACATGAAGACGATTTCCTAAGAAAACAGTCAAATAGTTTCTTTTTTTTTCAATAGCTCTAATATACCTGTTTTTTGTGCTAAATATTGAACTAATGTTGTTTTTCCACAGCCTAAAAATAATTTATGGGAATTATTGAAAAGAAAAATGAAAGATATTTCTTACCAGTTTCACCACAAAGTAAAACAGGTTCATTCATTTGAACACATCGTGCAATACGTTCAAGTATAAACATTGCTATACGAGTTTTTGCAAAACAATATTGTTGTTGTTGTGTTGATTGATTTCTATATATAGAAATATTGGAATTTAAAAATGAGAAATTGAATTATTTTACTTTTTTTGTGTTTCTAATTTAACATGTCCAACTGTAAAATATTGTTGATCACGATCATCAAGTTCTGCTATTGTTTTCAATGCATAATATTCTGCCTGAAGAAAATAAATATTTGAATTTATTTTTAAAAATCGAACTAATATACTTCTTGATTATTCATATTAAATAATGTTCCAATTGCTTGAATATGTTGTAAACGATTTTCTTTTGATAGAAATGATGCAAAACAATCTAATACATCATAAAATGCAATTTGTCTATGAATTGAAAGTGCAATTGATAAACTCGATAAACGATGACAACATTTTAATAAATCACTAAAAGAATAAATTGTTTTCTTAGTTAAATAAATAAATCTATATGTCTTACCGTAAAGTAACTAGACGTGTATGTATTGATCCTTTTGTATTTTGTAATGATAGATATAAGTGAAATAATTTCATTTGAAATAATTGTAAATCATTATTCCATATTGGAAGATTGTTCATTATCTAAATAGAATGGGGGTTTATTTTGTTTTATAAATATATAAAGATTTTTTTACTTGAATTATTTCGGAATCAGAATAGGATGGTATTACAATACAAAATACACTTTTTAATAAATGTATTAATTCATTCGATTGTACTGGGTTACCAGTATCACTAAAAAGAAAAATAATTTGATGTTTTCTATTTTATAAATTCATGGAAATAATTACCGTTGTGTTAGAAAAAGACGAAAATCAGGTGAAATTGATCCATATCCAACAGTTTTCATTTCAATTAAACTTTTTATAGTTGATAAAACATCTGAACTAGCAGCATCAATATCTTCCATTAATAACCAATGACCTTCCGATGTTGCCTAAAAATAGATGATAATAAAATAAAGAAGAAAAAAAGCTAATTCATTCATATTTACTTCAACTAATAAACCAGGTGTCCAAAGAAATTCTCCAGGTTTATCTGTACATTGATATGTACCTAAGAGAACCTAAAAAAATAAAAGATTATTTCCAGAAAATACAAGAGATGATCTCCTACTTTACTATCCATATGATCAGAACATTGAATTTTAATTAAACGTTTTCCAACTTGTTCAGCAATATATTCAACAAGTAATGTTTTCCCATTACTTATTGGACCATATATTAATGCTGTCCAACCAAGTGTTATACTCAAAGCTATTTCACGTAAACATTTATCTATTGTTGTTGTATGAGTAAGTCTTATTTCATTTGTTGTTGTTGTTATTATTTCAGTATCATTCGATTTTTTATTAATATTATATTTTGATAATGGAATACCATTAATGAAAATAGTTCGTTTTTTAAAATCATCATCAACAAATAAATTATCATAATTAGATGAAGTAAGTGGAAGAACAGGTTGTGGAGTAATCAGATCATAAATTCTAAAACAAAAATTAAAATATTTTCTTTTTCCAATGCAAAGTTTTTACTAGACGAAATCAATGTTAAAAGAAAATTATTCGATTTCGTTTTGATCTACTCCTACACTCAGTATTTCTTTTTAAAAACCAACTTTCTAGACTTGATTCTACCGCATGAAATTTCTTTTCTTGTAATCTCTTAATCCTGTTATAATTGAAAAATAATATAGCATTTTTTTAATCGATTTTCGTCTTTGTTACAATGTATTCTTATAAAAATCCTCCTGTTTAACACTATTCCTATTTTTCTCCATTATCTATAATAATAATTACTTGAAAATAGTTGTATTTGAGATATTGGGTCGATATAAATCTTGTTGATTAGATGACATATTGAATACAATTGATAAACAAAGAAATGCTAACCTATTTACGAAAAAAATATAAATATAAAAAGGAATTATTTTGTTTAATGAACAAACCATTTAACATCTTCATTATCATGATTTTCTAATAAATGAACAAGTGTATTCCATTTCCATGAATGAATTAAATTTATTTTTGAATTTGCTAATAATAATAAACGAAGTGTTGCTATAAGTAGATAAACATCTTCATTAATATTATTTGTTTTCTAAAAAAATAAATCATATTTTATTTATAAATATAAGTCATTTTCTTACTAATTTAGATTTCTTTTTTGGACTTTCTTGTTTCCATTCAATTAAAGATGTATCCGATGTTAGAAGATGATTTTCAGTAATTCTATTTTTAATAAATGTGAAACAAAAAATTGTTTTTCGAAAGTCAAATCAAATCTTACGTATGTAATGAAGGATAATCATGTAGAATTTGAGCAAGTAAAACAAGAAATCTTTGTTTAATTGATATTTGATTTGATATTTTAGTTGAAAAATTCACAGCCGTATAAAGACGATGAATAAATGCAATAAAATAACGAGGAAATACTGTTTGAATTTGTTGACAAAATTTCGAAGTTAAAGAATCACTATGTAATAAATGTTGAACAAGAAAATTTATTAATAAATGACGTTTATCTCGAGACCATTTTTGCTAAAATCCAAAAAAAAAAGAAATTATCAAATTCCGCATTTTCTCATGTGTTTTTTTTACTGTTTGTAGAAATGGTTGTAAATCTTCATTTAATTCCGGTATTTGTTGAATCAATCCTAACAATATTCTATGATGTTCACCATCGATTTCCATTTTTTTAATAATATCTAAAATGAACTCTTCAAAATCCAAAAGAACTACTTCGGTAAAAACTAGAATTACGTATCCGATCCTTTCTCGTATAACTACTAGCGACATCAATTTAATTAATAAATATTTTTCTAAATAAAATCATTTCTAAATATAATTTTCAAATAAAAATTTAATCATATAGAAATATTTTCGAATTATTTTAAAGGATATCATCATTATTTCTATTGACTGAAAAAAGACAAATAAAAAACGGAATAAATAAATAGATCTATCTACATGCATACATACATATACAAAAAAAAAAAGAAAAACAGAACACAGAACGATTATTACTGTCTGCTTTTTTTTTTGCTCTGTGGTGGTACATGAATCAAATCAGATTGATATTTTTTTTCTTTAGTTTTTTTTTTTGTATGATCAACCAAGCATTAATATTGTCCAAATATTTCTTTTCTATTTAGTTAAGAAAAAAAAAAGTAATGATGGTTAGTAATATTTGAAGTTTTGAGTAGTCTCTTTATTAGCATAAAATGTCATTTGAAATATGTTTGATTTTCGTTTATCAAGTAAGGATATTTTTTTTGTTTATTATATAAAAAAAAAAGAATCATAAGCGAGAGAAAGAAAGAAAGAACAATTGTCTTCAAGTGACAGACATATCGATAACATATTTACATATACTTTGAATAAATCGATAACTTTAGAATTCAGTTGTTCCTTTTTATATTTCTTTTTTCTTCTAGATATGTATGTAACATAGAAAAAGAAAATTTTCTCTATTCTTCCTTGTCAAATTTTGTGTGTAACCGGGATTTAACTTTCCCTTCTCCATAATATTAACGTCAGATATGTTTTACTCATTTTACTAAATCTCAAATCAAACGAAACAATGAAGAATGATTCATCTCATAAATTTTATGCATGGTTCGATGTATCAAGTAAGTTAATATTTTTCTGTTTTTTTTGAAATATTGTATTTTTGAATTAGATAATCTCGATGATGAACGTAGTTGGATACGAAAATATATTGAATTTGATCAAACAAAACGTACATTGACATTCTATTCCAATGACGTATGTAATTTAGCTTTTTTTCTCTCTCTCGCGCTATTTGGATAGGCATTGAATGAATGACTGAGCTCATCAACTAACTAGTACGACTAAATTGACCTTCCACCAACTCTTTTCTGTTATGTATGTCCATCAACTGATGTCGATATTTCATCCGTATGCTATGCCACATATCATCGCATCGAGCAGTTTGCACATGCGTATGTGCGTGGGAGACACACACACACACACAAATAGAATGTTTGTTCGTATATATTGTATGATGGAACCGTTTTCTTTTTTTTTTCCTTCTGCTTCTTCTTCTTCTTCTATTCATCTGTATATCTACAATACTGGAATGAGTACCAAATGGTGAATTGAACTGATCAATAATAGAGAAAGAGAGAAAAAGAAACAGAAAGAGAAAAAATGATGGCATAACCCTAAATCGATAGAACTTCCGTTCTCTTTGTTTGATGATTACGAAATCTGAAAGATTCTTTTTAAAAAAAATAGATGAACGATTTGACCTTTTTTTTGTATTTCTTCTCTATAACACATTAAAAGAATTATTTTCAGTGTATACGTTCAATAAAACAAGCACCTATCGTCGATTTAAATAGTGAAATGATATCATTATCATCATCAGCAACATCATCATCTTCATCATCATCACTATGTGCATCATCAATATTAACAAATAATACGGGTGTTGGTGGACGTTCATCAGTTAGTGTTCTTCGACCAAGTTATATGTTACAATCATTATCAGAATATATGTCACCATCATTATCAAAAGCAATTTTTTCTTCATCATCAACTAATGATGATAAAACAGCAACGTTAACTCCATCAAATAATAATCCAATACAATCGAATCCTATCCGTCATGCATCATTCACGGGTAAGATATTAATGAGGCAAACTTTGACAAAAAAACTAATGATCATCATGACCTTTACAGATATGAGTCTTTTTCTTGATCATATCAAACTAACAGAAATATATATTTGGTAATCGGATCAAGCGGAGAGAGAGAGAAAATAGCATAAAAGGACACACAATCGAAAGAATTTATAGATGTGAAATATAACATAAATATGTTCATTTGTTATTTGTATGATGAGAAATTTTAATAGAAACAAAATATTAAAGAAAAGATTGCTCATACAACCGTTCTCGGCATGTCATCGATCCTACACATTGTACCACAATCGGTGGGTTTTGTACGTCTTATGACATACTCCGATCATGAAATACAAGCTCAGACATGAACTAAAATATTTAAATCATAGCAATCCTTTAATGAGTTTCGAACCATCAACCTTTGATTTTATCAATAACTATATCAATTGGACTACTTTTTAACAATCTATTCATCTTTGTTTTCTATCACACATCTGTTTTTATGTGTTATCTGAAGACAAATTATCCTACTTTTTCTCAATAGAGACAACATCGTTCCGCATTTCATCCCACTTGTCTATCCAAACATACATACATATATAAATACATGGTCGTCGTCGTCTAGAAAAAAAAATGAGAGAACGACGGACTCGCAATATGCATCGAATGATAACCACTAGGAGCCCATTGGCGTGTGTACATATACGCACATGCGCGTGCCTATATGTGTAATAATAATTGTTCGATGTTACAGATCGATTCCGATTACATTTCAATTACTGTACAAACACCGTATCGAGAGAATAAGAAGAAAAAGAAGAATAAGAAGAAGAAAATCAGAGAAAGAAAAAAAGAGAATATCGATTCACTCTCTCGTATTGTTTCGACTTGTATTAGACAGAAAGAAGTAGGGGAGGCAGAGAGAGAGAGAGAGAGAGAGAGACAGAAGAAGAAAAAAACATAAAGTAAAGATACAATCGATTGTTCAATGCATCATCATCATCATCATTATTATCGTTGTTGTACAACAATAAAAAATAGACATAATGCGACATTTATTTAAAAGGTGGCCATCTAATAATCAACTGATAACAACAACAACAACGAATATTCCTACTGATAATAATTCTATAGCAACACCAATGTATCACCAAAGAGTACCGATTATAGAAGAAGAAGAATTTCATGATGATGAAGGTTCGTTTTATTCAATCGGGCATGTGTATGCTAGGCGTTTCCGTATGTACTTTAACTTCCGTTATTGAGAATAAATGACACACCTTTAACAAAGATATTTGTAATATTCGTGCCTTTTGACTTATTTAACAAATGAATAGAAGGTGAACAAATGCTCGTTCAAGGTATATGTATCGACATTTTTCACTTTCTTCTATTTCATTTCGTGAGTCAAGGCAAAAAAGTGACTTTTTGCTCTTTTATTTATTCGAATTCATTTGATAAGAGTAAAGTCGATTAGGATTATCTAGTACTAGAAGTGAAATATGTTAATTAGATATTTAAATCGTATGAATTCATTCACTTTTTTGTTAGTTTTTATATTAAGTTACACGAAGAGAAAGGTAACATTTAAATCATAAAAGAAGGTTTTTTTTTTATTTAAAACAAAATCTAATGTATAAATTTATACGGTCTAGGATTTATATTTTTGAACAAATGTTCAATTTCTTATCAGAGATATGGTTCAATCTGAACCATATATCTATTATTGGCCTTGTGTCTTAATGGCTAAGGCGTCTGACTTCGAATCAGGAGATTGCAGGTTCGAATCCTGCCAGGGTCGCTTCCCTTTTTTTTGCTTTATTCTTCTTTTCTTTTGTTTCCTTATGTTCAATATGTTCATTTCTTTGCTTCATATTTTATGTTGTATATTGTATGTTAGCCTTGTGACCTAATGGCTAAGACATCCGATTACGGATCGAAAGATTGCAGAATCAACTCCTTCCATGATTGTTTCTTTCTTTTTTTTGTTTCTTCTTTTAAAATCAATTCAATATAGATAAAGTTAATCCTTCTACTTTCTTATTTGTCATATGTATAGACTCATTATCTGATCGTTTGTCTTCAAGCACAACAACATCGACTCGACAATCAAAAACAAAATTTTCATATTTTTTTGGTCGTTCATCAGCCAATAATAAATCAAATCAACAATCTTTACCATCACCAAATATAAATATTGATTCATTAAAACGCACCAAAAGTGTTACTAAATTAGAACGACAAAAACGTCTTCAACAACCTTTAATAACTACAAATAATCAACAAACATCTCCATCACTTCAGTAAAAAAAGCTTTTTCTATCAAATAAATAATTCATTTTTTTCTTTTTTTCCTTTAGTAACATTCCAACAAATCGATCTCGTTCACATGAATCTCTTTTTGTATTAAATGGTACATCTGGTAATGGTTCATTAGGATCAATATCAACAACAATTCCGACTCAATTAATGTTAGATACGTGTCATATTCGTCGTTTACATCCAAGTATATTACAAACATCATTAGATACAAATGATGAACATTTTTCATCATATCCTTGTATTGAAATACGAAATAAAAATGAGAAAAAAAATTATTATCTACGTTCTAAACAATATTCACCTGATTGTTCAATATTAACGAATAATTTACGACAAACATCTTTAGATACAATCACAAAAATACATGGTTTAAGAACAGATAATTCATTAGATATTTGGATATTAGAAGCGAAAGGTTTACCTACGAAAAAAAAGTAATAGAAAAATCAAAAAAAGAAAATTCAAATATATATATTTTTTCTTTTCTATTAGATATTACGTTAAAATTTTTCTTGATGATGATATATATGGTAAAACAACAAGTAAAGAACGACGTGAAATATTGTTTTGGGGTGAAAATTTTACATTTAAAGATATACCAGAAGGTAATATTATCTCTATTTCATTTATTTTCTTTTTAAATAAATAAATTTTAAAGGTTGTTCAATACTTCGTTGTAAAATTTATCGAGAAGTTGAACGACGTAAACAAAAGCAAATCAATGGACATGATATTGATTTAATTGGTTATGTTGATATACCATTATCAATAATAACAGGAAATCAATTTATTGAACAATGGTATCCATTACAAATACCATCAGGTTTAACTGTAACTGGTAAAGATAAATCACAAAGATTACAAGATGGATCATTTAATATTAGAATTAAAGCGAAATATCAAGCCATTGAAATTTTACCAATTGAATCATATTTACATTTACAAGAAGTTTGTATTTCATCTTGTTTTTATTATTCAATAAAAATTAAAATATTTTTTCTAGTATATACGACGAGATTATCTTCGACTTATTAGAATTCTTGAACCACATATTAGTCTACGTGATAAAGATGAAATTGGTATGTTTAATATTAGATTTATTCTATTTCGTAAACTAGAGAATTTGATTAGTTTTATAAGATATAAAACTGTCGAAATTAATTCATTTGCGAACATGTTTAATCTCATAGATAATAGTTACGAATAAAAATATAATTATACGATAATTCCAATGAGGTTATCATCGAAATTGTATCAAGCGTAATAGTCTCTTGAGATATACAAAGAGGAAGAAGTCGAACGGAATTGAAAACTTTTTATTTCAACAATCTTTAAGTACATTTTTAGGGTGTAGGTGATACATTAATCTATCACCTACACCCTCATTTCATAGTATTCTTGGTCATACCCAACAATTTTAAGACAGCCTTGGTTTGTACCCATGACCTTTGACACTGGGTGCTAAGATCTGTAATGACGGAGGAGAAGCTGGAAAACTTACATTTAGGATTTTCTTTAAAAACTGACGTGAGTTCCACAAAAAATCCATCTTCTGATCGCGTTCAATTCTAATTATAATAAGATTAAATCATTAAAAACCATGAATTCCGATAATTCTAAACTAACTAAATAATAGATTAATTTCACTTGAATTGTTCTATTTATTTAAGCCACATCATTAACTCGTATTGCTCAATCATTATCATTTTCCACATCATTTCTTGTTGATATTGTTCAAGCAGAAATTTTATCTACACCAGATAATACATTAACATTTCGTGGTAATTCAATCGCAACAAAATCAATGGAAGCCTATATGAAATTAATTGGTGAAACATATTTACGTGAAACATTAACAAAATTTGTAACAGATATTGTTTCATCCAAAACTTCCAATGATATGGATTTAGAAGTTGATCCAGGTCGAGTATCAAATGTACAAAATTTAGAACGAAATCAAATTACATTACGAACATTATGTGAAAAAATTTGGTTAGAAATTCAACAATCACATTCATTATTTCCTCAGTAAGATTTTTTTCGAAAATAAAATCATTACTTATTGTTTTTTTTCATTTTAAAGGGAATTAAAACGTATATTTTGGAAACTTCGACAATTATCATCATCAGATGAAACAATGTTTAATTTAATAAGTGGATCTGTTTTTCTTCGTTTCCTTTGTCCAGCTATTCTATCACCTAATCTATTCGGTCTTACACAAGGTAAAGAAAATTTCCTTCTTTTTTTTTTGTTTTAATTAAAATTCATTTTTATAGAATATCCAAATGAAAAATCCTCAAGAAAATTAACATTGATTGCTAAAACATTACAAACATTAGCAAATTTTTCAAAGTAAAAAAGAATATCTAATATTGATTTATAAAATCGAAAATTCTTATTTAGATTTGGTCCAAAAGAATCTTATATGAAATTTATGAATGATTTTGTTGGAAAAGAATCGGATAATATGCGTCGATTTTTAGCTAATATATCTGTAAATTTCAAATATAGAATTATTATTTCAATTGAATTTATTTCTTTATTTTAGACCGTTGATCATGATTATGATGAACCACGATCATCACATGTTAATAATACTCATGATGATAAATGTGATATTGATTTAGGTCGAGAATATTCAATTCTTCATACAACTCTTGCTGATTTATTTGAACAAATCGATATAAATACACGTCGAACATTAAATGAATTAGAATATGTTTTAAATGAATTAACAAATATTAAATTATTTTATTCATCATCATCAAATAGTACGCAAATTCATTTACATCATCATCATCATCATATCTATCATCATTCAACAACACCAATATCATCTGAACAATTTTATAATCGTTTAGATAAACAATCCAATGATATACGTTCATCCCCATATGGTAGTCAAATATCTTTATCATTAACTGGTACAGGTACAACAAATGGTTCATCACAAGGTTATCATTCAATATCAGCATCACCAACAATAACAACTGTTGAAAATCTTAATAAAGAAAATATTCGTACACCATTGTCTTTCAAAAATCCACTTTTTAATAATAATAATAATAATCAAATGATGAAAACAGATGAACATATTCATAGTGATTTATCTGATGATGATAATAATCAAAGACATTTAAATCAATCTCAAACTGATTCAACAAAAGCACTTTATTTTATTAATAGTCTTTGTATTGAATCTCTTCAAAATCCATCATCACCTTCTCCTTCTTCATCTTCTCATCAATCTCTTGTTCATTCAGCTAGTCGACAATCTTTACAACAACAACCATTATTTGTTTTAAATAATAGTTATATGACAAGAAGTACACAAAGTTTAGCATCATCAAATATGACTATACCACCACCACCTACAAATAAAAATTCTCCAACAACTTATTATTGTTTAAAAACAAATGATGAACTTAGTGGAACAAATAAAAGACAATCGAATTTAGCATCTCAACAACCACCACCGAAAATGGGTGTCAAAGCACTGAGTCATTCATCATCTAATAAAGTAAATCATCTTTATCAAATTCTCACTGAAATCTTATAGTAATCGGAAGCATTAGTAATTGCTATTTAATAGATTTCTTTTGTCTATCATCATGTATACCTATAATAAATATATATTCCATTAGTTATGTAAGAAAAAAAAAACATAACGACTAGTATGAGTGTTAATGGATTCCATATATGTATATACTTTAAAATCGATTAATATTTTGTTTAATTTAAGGAATTAGTTCTTCCACAACGCTCACCAATGTTAAATTTATATCAAGAAGAAAAATGTCGTCGTATGGAATGTGAAAAACAAGCTGAACGGTTAGTAAAATTGAAACTAATTCATTAGATTATTTAAAAACAATGGGGAAGAATAAACTTTTTTTCTTCTAATCTTATAAATAATTTAAATAGTAATTTTGCATGACTTCTTCTTTCTCTCAGGCTCTGCTCGCATGAGACAGTTGTTTAACAATCAGGTGGGTTATTATTATATACAATTATTATATTTCAAGCATGTGTCCTTGTTTTTTTATTCATTATTTTATGTAGTTGCACGTTATTGATTGTTTGTGTTGTTATTCAGCATGTGTTTGTGCTTGATTTTTTCTTTTCGGTTTTTTTTTCAAAATTTAAATTATCAATAAAAATCTTTTATTTAGACTTCGTGATGAATTAAATCGATCAAATGAACAAATTGAAGAATATCGACAATTAATTTATTTAATAAATGAAAACAATGTTACAACTAATATTGATGATCTGAATAGAATTGATTATTCGGATGATGATAATGATAATAATAATTGTCGACCAATTGAAAAAAATTTTTGTCTTGATGATAATACAGAAAAGAAATTTATTTTTTTGTATAGTAAACCACCATTACCACCAGATAATGATGAAGATGATGATATTGATAATTTATCTATACTTTCACATCTTGAAAATGAGATAGGATAACATTTTTTTTAATTATCCTTTTTTCTTCTCATTCTTAGAAATATTAGTCTCTCATTTTGTTTTTCTTCTTCACTGCACATGTGTTTTTTTTTTGTCTTTTTCTTTTTTTCTTAAAATACTCGTTGCTGTTGTTTATTAAACTCACATTGTCATATCATTGTTAAATAACATAAATAATCTGTGTGTGTGTGTGTGTGTGTATTTGTTGTTTGATAAAACGAGGATTATGTTTGTTTTCTTTTTTTTTCTTTTGTTCTTATAATGTCAATGTTTATTGTAATACTAAAATTTTTGTAACAAAGCACATCAGCGGCTTGCGAATGTTTAATTTGAAAATCGATTCAATTCTTAAATTAAACACACGATTGATATTTGATATAACTCATTATGTTAACTTTCTAAATTCTCTGCACAGATACTAATAATAAACAAATTTTGTAATATATTTAAATTAAGAAAATATTTGACAATATTTACTTGTCAATTTTGATAAGTATTTATCCTATTTTTTATCTCCTACTTATTTTCATTCTTTGATGTTAAGAAAATATTCAACGAAAAATCGAATCGATCGTTCTTGATAATTCGATATTAGAAATAATGGATAACAATTAGAGTCAAATTTGTTGAATTTATACAGACATTTATGTATTTTTTAGCTGCGTAAAAAATAGTGTTTTTCTCAATATCACATAAGAAATCATTACGTATAATTACAAGATTATTATTTACGTGAAAAAAGATTCTTTAAATGAAACATTTGTTGTATGTTTCAATTATACATATACGAAAATGATTAATTAATCTCGTGATAGTTCATATCTGTTAGTTGATCAAACTAGTCGTTTAAGTTTCAATGAAATTAAGTAACTATATATGATTACTAATGAATGAAAAGCTTTAATATTTTCCAAATTAATATGAATTTCCGGAATATTGTATTTAATATAAAAGAATAATGCTGATATAAATGAGATAAATAAAAGAAATTTAAAACGAAACAAATAAAAATGTACATTAATTTATAATGAATTTGTATAGAATATATTTTATGAATAATAATTATCTTTTGCTTATTCTTCTGTGATGTCTGAGTCAGAGTCAGAATATGCTGTTGAACGCTGAAATAAAATAGCAAACTATTTTGTAATAATAAATATTATTTTCTAGGAACATCCTACCCTTTTTGCTGGTCGTTTCCGTTTAATTGATTGATTACATTCCAGGCATATTTTTGGTTGAACCGATGATGGACAACTTTTATCTTTGGTTGCTACAGATATGATAGATAACAATATAAATATAAAGAATAGAATTATTTTTTTACGTACTAAAATTCATAAAACCAGACAAACCAAATGTGTTCATGTGTCGTAATCCATTGATCTTCAAAATAAAAGCTAATCGAATAAGTTTATTATTGTGTTCAGCAACATGAAGCTTTTGTACACTATCTTCATCTAGTTTATGCAAGACAAGACCTCCTAAATTTTTACTGATTTCACCTGGTTTCCTAATTAAAATCACTTCTATTCTAAAAAGACTATTCATAGTAATAAATATAAGCTTAAGTATCATACTTGAATTGCCCATGTTGAACTAATTCTTGGTTCAAAACCATTTCAATAGGATTAGCACCATCGGATTCCGCACTACAGCCTGGTCGCCGAAATTTACTGGGTCGATGTAAGCTCCACACACGTTCGTTATCAACTTTTTTTTCAGTCACACTAGCTACCAACAAAGCAACTGGGACACCAGATTTGATTAATTTAACAACAAAGGACGGAATCTATAGGTAAATCTAGAGTTCAAAAAGTTATATTTAGAATTATTTTGACATACGCTAATAATAGGTCTGATATGTTGGTTTCTTTGTTCTGGTGTTTTGACACCTGATAGTAGAGCATGACTACGCTTTGCTTCAGATTTCCGTTCCTCAGCAGGACGTTGCGGTACAACATCAGATATATATCGCCATCTACCAGGTTGTGGACTAACATCGTGGATCATACGAATGTGTTTTACATCTAAATCTGAACATTTTGACGTTGTAGGCATCGGCGAATTTTTGTCCACGCTGTGCCCTTCTGATTGATGCATGTGTTTAGTTGGCGCAACATCACCTATAATTAATATTCGTATTTTAGAAATTACCTTTTCTACGTCTTAATATCAAATCAAATAAGAAACAATAGATATCATGCTAAAAATATGACCCAATAAGCGATTGGACTGTATTAGAAGTATAAATTTAAAAATAGTTAAATTTTGAATAGCTAAACTGATTTCTCAGATAAAAGATTTCTATAGTCTAGTAGTTTTCTATAAATTTCTACACTACCTTGATCATTGACACTATCGGAGCCGTTTTCTTGACCGACACAATCTTCTCCGTGTCGTTCGAGATTTTCTAAAAATCTCTCTAAATTAAATAAAAAAATTTTAAGACAGAAAACATTTATAATTTACCAAACGCAGGTGAAAAATCTAGTGGTATTAGTGATTCTAAATCACATGTAGCTGGTGATAATGCATTGATTTGATCTAAAATTAAAAACGAAAGGATTAAAACTTTCAAAATGTATATAGTAAACAGACCGTCATCACCTTGCAATATTGGTTCAATAAATATGTTTATAAAATGGTCAGCACATGTTAAAGAATAAACACCAGTAAGTACTGTAGCACAGATAAATACTGGAGTTAGAAAATTAGATTGATTTTTGTCTAGAGTGATCTTATTACCACTTGTTGGGTCCTCATATTGAATATCATAGTCTTTCAATTCATCGCTAACAATCTTTGATCGAATATAATCATCAAATTCTTGTTTTGTGGTCGTGTTTGTAAATAACCATGTAGACCTTGTACGACCTTTATAAGTGATTCTCAGTTCAATACCATCCATTTAAGTAATATTTTCTATATAAAATCTGCCAAATAATATACTTTTGCTCTGCGAGTGTATATGTTAACAGCATAATAATGTTATCAGTGTGTATATGTTGCTAAACGAACTTCCAACCTTTCCTATTTTGTCCAACCTCAAAAATATACATTTATTGATTTTCTTTCATTTCTTTCTTGCGTCCTAATCAGTTAGCAAGTAGAGTTATAAAACACGTCAGCATTACAAGAAAGAAACTTTATATGACTACATTATCGTCCAATCTAATACATAGTTCTGTTTCATTCCGTACGTTTCTTTATTTTTTTAGTGTTTAACTAATAAAAAGACATTCATGATGATATCGTTTAATTTCGCCGTTTATTTTTTAAATCTATTTCATACATTTTTCATTAGTTCAAACTTATCTTATAATGAACTTGTTCAATTGATTGAGAAAACTTTTCTTATAAGCTTAAAAGA